AAAAACCTCTTTAATCACACTTCCTCCATATGAAAAGAATCGGTCAATCCTGATCAGAGATGGTATGGGTATGTACAAAGTCTTTATGCTAAAAGGTACAACAGTTTTGAGGATTTTGCCAAGGACTACTTTAAAAACCTAATAGCTTGTTTTGAAAAGTTCGGGTGTGTCGTATATAGAGGTGATTGATCGGTATAATGTGGAACATTCTACAAAATCAGCAGAAAGAATGAGGTCTCTTTTAAATGTTGGTAAGGTTTTTCAGGTCATTGAAGGAAGATCAATTCCAGATTGGAAGATATTTCTATGTGCACCCGAAGGTTGATCAGATTTTTAGGTGACTATGCGCTACAATGAATTTAATTTGCAAGACCATGACGAAATATTCATAGCGGGATCTATTCAAAATCCAGAGACTGTTGAAAAATTTTGTGTCAGTGCTGTACGTGACATTAATCAGTTGTTCAGTACACAGGAATTATTCTGCAGTCTCCGTTTGCTAATGAACAGATGGTAACAAGTTATTCCAAGGGTTGCATTGTAATAAAATCATCAGACACTGACGTTTTACTTTTTTGTGTAATGTATTCTCAACAAATGACAAACATTGATGAATTGTGGTTCCAAACTAGATCCGTTTCTTCAACCTCAGACCCCTGACGGTTTATACTTGTTCACGACATACCCGGTATGCAAAGTTATTGTTATTGGACAGTCTAGCACATACCAGCTGCTCACGCTCTTACATGCATGATGCGATTCGGTATCTTCATTCTTCGGAATTGGCAAAAAGATAGTTTATTTGACGTTGAAACAAAACCTATACCGGTATCAAAGTTTTTCAAATCTTGCTAGTTATGATAATAACACATCTGTTGCAGTGGGAAGACAATTCATTTCTGATCTATATTGGTGATTCCAATAAGCTCAGAGTGCTATCTAAGGATGCTTCCTTATAATGAGACTACCTCCTTCTGATGCATCATTCAGACAACACATTCTTCGAGTTGCGCTCCAGGTGTACGTCTGGATGAATTCTCATATCGCCAAACCATCCGGATCACCTGTGGAATATGCCCGGGATGGAAAACGGGGAATAGCTCCATAGTTCCAGTATTTTGATGGTCCAATGCCCGCTGACTTTTTACATGACTTAGTTTACACATACAAAGGCAAAAATATTTGTAGCAAATCTTCCGTATGCTACGATCAGATTTTATTTTAAATTCCCCTTCTGACTTTTGACCACAGTTTTCAAGAATCTACACCACTTTGGCACTCTACGACAGGCTTTGACCAAAGTACATTAATAAGATCAAAAATTAGCCGTGAGGTATTTCAATTCATTAAATTTTTAAATTTACCATACATGTCACGGTACTAAAAATCCTGTCGGGCATTGCCGAACTTCTCTGCTACATCTCTCATATTGGTGACGAAAAATTAGTTATTCATAACAAGCGGTTAATCAACCAATGAAGAGGCTTTTTATTCAGAGATCGGTTGATTGATTTTTATTTTCTACTAGATCTGTGGCAAATATTACATGCACATTCTGGGTGAGAATAAAACTAATAAGCATGCAAAGCTTTGCAAAGAGCGTCGAACTCTATTAAGAATTCAAAATTTAGACTGCCACTGGAAAATGAGGGTATGTTGTTAAGGATCATAAATTTTGTTTTACAGCAGCCACCTACGGAACCATAAAAAAGTTATTTAAAGTTTGTTTTTTACTTCAGAGAGTGGTATTCTCACCACACAAGGCGTTGGATTAAACGTTCAATTCCGACCGGTCGTTGCTGTCATTAAAACATCCCGACATGTGGATGCCCCTTATGGGCAGATTTTCCTGCTCCATACCCAAGTTAACCCTTTGGATCCTCTTTTTGAATGGTGAGGATAGTTGTTAAAGATGGGTTACTTCGTTGATGAAAAACTAAACAATAACGGCATTCCCATGGGAACCAACTGTGCTCCTCTTCTTACCGACTTGTTCCTTTATTCATATGAGGCTGACTTCATACAGGAACTTCTTAGGAAGAAAGAAAAGAAGTTAGCAGTATCCTTTAACTTTACTTTCCGCTATATAGATGATGTTCTTTCACTAAATAACTCAAAATTTGGTGACTATGTTGAACGCATCTATCCCATCGGACTTGAGATAAAGGATACAACAGATACAGTTAAGTCTGCCTCATATCTTGACTTACATCTAGAAATTGACAATGAGGGCCGGTTGTAAACAAAACTGCGACAAAAGGGCTGATTTCAGCTTCCCAATTGTGAACTTTCCATTTCTATGTAGCAACATTTCAGCAGCGCCTGCATACGGAGTATATATCTCCAAGTTGATACGATATTCCAGGGATGTATTTCCTATCAAGATTTCCTTGATAGAGGGTTGCTGCTCACAAGGAGGCTATTAATCCAAGAGTTTCTAGTGGTGAAGTTGAAGTCATCCCTTCGTAAAATTTCACGGACGCCATAACGAGTTGATTGACCGTAACTACAACCCCGTCCACCAATGTGACCTAGCGAATTAGACTTATTACCGGGTTTGTACTAACATGAGCAACACGACGGGTGCCACATGTGTAGCAGGACCTGCTTACCCTTCCGAAGCACCTGAGATCACCCCCAGTTTTTGATGGGGTTCGTGTTGCTCAGTCTGTAGTTTTCTATGTTGTGTTTTGTGTACTATTGTTTGTCTGTTAGTCTTTTTCTTTTTAAGCAATGTCGTTGTCAGTTTATTTTTAACTTATGAGTTTGAATGTCCCTTTGGTATGTTTCGCCTCTCTTTCATAAAGTATATAAGATATCTTATAAAGTTTATAAGATATCTTATACAAACTAGATTATATAAGATATCTTGAAGTCAGAATAAATAGTAAAACGGCTTGCCATAGTCATATACAGAATGTGGTGTTATAAAACATGTTAATGAGCGCTCAACCCTCCCCTATCCTGTGACAGTAGTGTAATAGAACATCATAAAAATAATTGAACTGTAAAAATCAACAGGAAAAGGATCGACAATAACAACGTACAAACCCTTTTTAAAAGAAGAAAAAAAAAAGAGATACCGACCTAAGAGTACTCCAGTAAGCCAATACCAACTTATACATATTCTTTTAGATACATTAAAACTTACAATGTTTTGTTTCTAGGTGAAGTTTTATACAATTTAACACAATGCTATAAAACACATTCAATTTCAAGTTTGGTTTAAGAGTTTTTTTCTGCAAGCGGGGGTAAATTTGTTAATCTATGATTTCGAGATCAGGTTAATATAAATTAGTATATTGGTAGGCTATGTCATGTTCAATCAACGGCAGTTTAGCTGTTCTCAGGGGGCGGATCTACAACTGGCTGAAAGCTTAATTTAATGTACTGAGTCAGTACTTTTATTGATACTACACAAGTATATATAGTGGAGAAAATTTATACAGAAAGTGTTAATTTGCTTCTTCATTTCAAGTGAGAACAACAGACGTTTTTATCGTGTGATGACACACTATATTGATTGATAACGAGGTCTATGTATAAAGTTCATCAATTGAGTCTTATTTACGTTTTATTATATTATGGATTATAGCGAACACAATGTCTTTATATCTGTACATACACTTTGATCTTCAGCAATGAACAGAATCGTTTGTATATGTAATGAAAACAAAGCAACCACGTGTTCAGGTCTGTAGATTTTATGATTAATATATAAGTCTTTGGCATATTTTGCTAAGTTTTGTTAACTGTTTGGATAACTTTCCAGAAAATAAACCTCACAACAACTTTATTTTATGGTGCAGCTATTAAAGAAACATATATAATAATAATCTGTGTTTCAATTTCAAGTCACAAGTAGAAACGGAAATTTTATATTAATTAGTCTCACTTTGACTAAGAAAACCCAAGGCATTTTGGTCATAAGGAACGTAATGCATATTACCTAGATGCTTGTATACATAGTATAATTTGGTTCAAAGATAAGTTCATATCACTTATGTAACATATAATACAAATACAAATAAATGCAAGCAAAGTTGATTTTTAGCAATTTTGGCTCATGGATATTGGTTGTTCTGTTTAAATCATGCTCTTTTGAATTTGACGGTGAAAAAGTGAACGATCCATTTATTTAGCTTCCAAAACTTTTGCCCTCGACCCATTGACCAACCCACGACTATATGAAGGTTATTTTTCCTCAGAAACAACGTTAAGCCTACTGAAATTGACGTTTATTTTAAACTTCTGGCGATAAATTTATGTCACCAGTGTTTGATTCGACGGCGCTTAAATGTACTAATAAGGTTTGACAGATAAAAAACCGAGTCTCTGGTCCTTCTTACCATAGTATGTGTAGTGTGTAACATACTTTACATAGATAATGTGTAGAAGTATTTACCTTGAAGCTGTTATCGGGTGAAATATCATGTACACACAGTGTATAAGATCAAATAAATGTAAATGAATATTCTCATTAGTATGTAATTGAATGTCAAATAAGTCGGAATTCTATCCATATAGGGTAATGATTTTTTTCTCGTTAGTTTCAGTTTAATTTCAATACTTTGTATATATTTATGATAGTCAGGCTCATATAATACATCCCTAGAGACATCAAGTTATATGATGCTTCATGACTAGGATTTCCTTTTCAATGACATGCCTCAATTCTTTTCACGAGTCAACTTCGTATTTAATTTGGCCTTTTAACTTTTTTTATTCGAGCGTCACTGGTGAAGTTTAAGCCTAGTATGGAGTTCACTTTATATATATATATATTACACACCATCGTTTTAATAGTCTTAAAATTATGCCGTTTATTGGACACATGATTAAATAGGTGCTATTGAAAGCACATGTCGTTGTTTCATATATTTTGTCTCTTACTTAGGCTGTAATGTATTTTGTTGGTCGGTAACTCCCTTGGTTTGACAATGAGCTTGATTGTATAGGAAAAAAATATCATCAATATCTCCTATCACCCGGATCAAATTTTGATAATCAAATAAAATTGTAAGTTTGTATGGAAATAAAAACCACACATAAGACTACTTTTAAGCATAAAATGAATAATTTATACATTCACATCGGTACAGTAACAAGTAGTAGAATTATACTAATTAATATCATTGATTGATCAGATAGTTAACAATCCATACTTGATATTACTGTTTGAGGCATGACATCGCAAAATTGTTCTGCTCCTGTTTTTCTATTGTCCTAAACTACATTTTACAGCTCCAAAGCACTGACAGTGTACATCAAGCAATCAATACCTACACATTATCACTCTTGTTTATTTCACATGCTACATCACACACACAAGGTTCTTTCTATGTCACACATTCCCAGGTATCCACAAATATCGCTGTCCATCTCCTAAGGGATCACATGATGACTTGATACGAAGAGTAACTTTAGTACAAAAATAATTACTGTGGGACCGTAACTGTGATGGATGTATTCATATTTTCTTCTTGTAAGTGCATATTTTGCTTTATCTGTTTATATGTAGCCATTGATTTTCAATGCGTTTTTACAGGATTTTTACATGATGTGAATAAGTAACATGTGTCATACATTAAGTGTTGTAAATAGTTATTTATATATAGATGACAAATATAGGCGTGTTGTGCAGATACTTGACTGTAAAAAGTAAATGTTTGGTTGATTTTGGCTACATTAATAAGCTTAGGGTTCTGTTATTGGGGTGGTAGCTTAATTTGTACATGTTTTAGTCACTAATAAATTAATGGGGGTAGAGCCACGTGGGTACAGCACAAAACCTCCGCAGCAGGTCTTCTTACCCCCGCTCTGTAATGATCTGTAATGAGTTGTAGGGATGAGCTGCTGGAATAGAGCAATTTCAAAGCTTCATGATATATGATAATATGTATGTATATTTGTTTATTGTGTTAATACATGTTAGTCACAAACTGTAAAGTTTATACGACAATAAAATATTTGATTTGATTTGATTTGATTTGATTTGATAATGTCGAGTAATTAAGATGAGAAATGTGACACGGTTGATGATTGAATCATAAATATCTTAAACTAATCAGATGTTGATTTTCTTCGATGTGATCGAAACTAAATGCATCAGATGTTTGTTAAATTTATTTATCTCTCCTTTAAAAGGGTACGTATGATAGCTTTCATTTGTTTTTTTTCTTTTGACAAAAAATATATGATAATCGAGAATGTATTTGTGTTATTCCTAGTGTTATTCAAAATATATGAAAAGAGTAGGGTTCTCAATCTCTCAGCTTTTTACCCCTACCAAAAAAAGATGGAAGCACCCCCCCCCCCCCCCCCCCCCCCCCTCTCCTAAAAAACCCGAGCCCCAGCTCTACACTTTATTATAGCAAAGTAGAGATGAAAGAGTTGTAGAGTTGAACCGCTGAAATCTGTCACTATTTCAAAATAGATAATATATGATAAGGTAAGGAATTTAGGATGTAATATGGTTGTATCTAAATCATAAGTATCTAATCAGATTTCGATATTTTTCATATATGGGATTTAAACTGCAAACTGCAGTCGTGAATGCATCAAATATTTGTCAAATCTATTTATCTCTCTATGAAATAGCATTATCATAATAGCTATAGGTGTATTTTTGTAAAATATATATGAAAGGGTATGTATTTTTGTTATTCAAGATATATGAAAAGAGTGGGATATACTGGATGTCTTACCGCAAAGGTTTGAAATTACCCCCTTTCCCATTACGATAAGCGAATACCTCGGTATGTAAATATCAGAATACTTTTTTTATTTATTCAAGAAAACCTAAAACAGAATGTATTTCAGGAAATCAATGGATATCTGCATTCAATAACTATGATTTTGTGAATTGATCTCTAACACATTTAATGATTATTAATCTCCGTAACAGTATAAAAAGTACTTTTGATAGTTTCAGCATTGGTCTACTTACCGCGGGAAATTGATGAGACCAATTTTAATTTCGTTGGCTTACTACATATTCGTTTTTAAAGGATAAACTAAGATTGATTGATTGATTGTTGATTGCTTAACGTCCAGTGGCAAATATTTCATGCATGTTTAGGATGAGAACAAATTAAAAATAAATACAATAGGTAGTTGTTGTAATTGAGGCCGTCCGGGGTAAGGTCGGGAAAATTTCGACTGCCACTGCAATTCTGACCGGACGTGGCTGCGTACTTGATACATCCCACACAGCCAAACGGACGCCCCACTTTGGCAAGGGTTTTACTGCCGGTCGGAAGAATATGTAGTGACCATATTTCTATTCCCCAGTCATCCTTGGGGAGATAAACTAAGAATAAGCTGGTCAAATCAATTAAAATATAAACGTTCCACGTCATTATATATTGGTTCATTTATAGAATCGCAAAAGCAAATAACAACATTCATCATTATATTAAAATTTCAAAAGGTATGATCTGGTTTGGGAAGTTATAACCATAAAAAGTTTTTTTTTAATTTTCTGCTGATGGAATCATAATTTCACATTAAATCTCTATATTTGAGAAACAATTTTGTTTATGTTAATATCCCCAAGTGATTAAAATCTATGTCCGGACACATATCGTTTGATCTATCAATCACATTCAATTATCACGAGTATCAAATCTGGGTGTCACCCTTGAAGGATTGTGGCATGTAGGTTCATTACATAAGTGGTATGTTACCCTTCAAAATTTATCGACTATGACTACTACATTTTTAAACATTACAAAAATGATATTTTAATGTTAGTTCTTTCAAAAAAGAGTGTATTCCACTTGTGTCATTTGATATTCTGGCTACCCTGATTGACGTAGTCACACGGGGTAGATTATTTTATTGTTTGTTCATTCAAAAAAGAGTCTATTCAACTTCTGTCAATTGATCTTCTTCTGACTACCCCATTGGTGACTGGGGTATAGCAATATGGTCATGTTTGTCTTCTACAGACCGTCAGTAAGACCCTTGCCAAGAGTGGGGCGTCTTCTTTGTGTACATTCGCAATCACTATAGTTCAGAATGGGGACGTTAAATCCGATGCCTACTGTAGAGAGATGACCAGGATCTCTGCATGTTAAAAGTCTTAACAACAACTCTCTGAGGGGTCCATAGTTGCCCTGTTGCAAGGCAAAATATCCGTCCCAATCACATATGCCCTCATTTCCCAAAGCAATCCAAATTGACGGTGTATCCCCCAAAATATCTGATGTGATACAAAAACAATATATATGGTTATAATCTTTATTAATGAGCATATTGAGCTAAAGAGAATATTTTAAAGACAATTCTTAAACTTGTTATCTAAATGTGGATAGTAAAACCGTAAAAAGCTAGATGGGAATTCATTTTTTTTTAATTCCTGCTAGTGGAATCATACTTCCACATTAAATCTCTATATTTGAGATAAAATTTAGTATTGACCACTTATAATACTATCCTTCCTTTAAAATTTTTATAGAAAAACTTACGCTAATATTTATAGAAATCATAGACGCCACGTGCTGCAAACACGTGCATATCAAACTAAGTGAGAAGGAGAAAATGAAACATGACCACCAAGGAAAGGGAAATTAACAATTGAAAGGAAAAATTGTCCCGTTAATCATAAATATTATTGGTTTGATGATAACCATGAGAAATTCGAAAACGATATTGATCGCTATTGATGTTTGATATAGAAAGAGAGGGTTGAGCATGATGGGATGGAAAAGTTTTATTGGTTTATTTAAAAAAAAAAATCATCAAGAATAAATCGTTTAAATGTATTTTGATATATTTAGCACGTTGTGTTTATATTATTTGCATTTCATTAATCTTTGCATTAAACTGCGATTCAAAAGGAGTAAAGAAATAAATTTGAAATAAGTAGGGTGTATCTGCAAAACGACATATATATATATATATATGACTGTATGACTCTGATGTAATTACTGAACTATCGTTTCCTGTGAAATTTTAGAATTGTACCAGCTCATATTGCACATTATCTTTCTTTTGTGATACATCTATGCAGTCTCTGTTGTAGATAATTAACCTGCGTCAACTTTGAAATATTAGAATTATACTTTTTAATTTGTATATGTCTCTGGTTGAAGATTGTTTTAGATAAATCAAAATAGATTGATATGATTCATTTTACATCATCATTAGCATACTGATGAAGGATATCTGTTATCCGAAATATTTATAGATACTTATATATATTGTTTCCTTTTTTGTATTGGTGTTGTGTACACTTTATAGGCGTGTTTCCTTTTTTTATATTGGTGATGTGTACACTTTTTAGGCGTATGTATAATTCATTAATGGTGTACAGTTTCGTAGTTTCGTTACTCGTAACGATCCAGCGCCCTCGTAAAAAAGATCCAAAAAAGGAATTGTAATGACTGCATTCATTTGTTTACCCCTAAAATGTATACGAAGGACATTATTAACCAAAAGTCACAGGCACTTGTCTCTAAAAAAAATTTCCTATATACCTTAATATAACACGTGTTATATTAAGGTATAAAGGGGAATAAAATTCTGAGACAAGTGCCTGTGCCAAAAGTATCTAACTTAATGCTTAATTTTGATTTCCGGACACAAATCGTTAGATCTTTTAATCACATCCCAAGTATTATGAGTACCAAATCCGGGTGTCACCCTAGAAGAGACTTGTTACATGTAAGTTTATTACGTATTATATGTTACCGTTCAAAATTTATCGACTATAACATCTACATTTTAAAAACACACACATTACAAAAATGATATTTTATTGTTTTGTTTTGTTTTTCTTCGAAATAGAGTCTATTCAACTTATGTCATTTGATCTTCTTCTGGCTACCCCTAACGATATAGTCACAAAAGTGATATTTTATTGTTTGTTCTTTCTAAAAAGAGTTTATTCAACTTCTATCAATTGATTGGGGTATATAAATATGGTCATATTGGTCTTATAGCGACCGTCAGTAAGACCCTTGCAAAGAGTGGGGCGTATACTTTGTAAAAATTTGCAGTCACTACAGGTCATAATAGGAACGTTAAATCCGATGCCTTATTAGTGAGATGACCAGGCTCTCTGCACATAAAAATTCTTAACAACAACTCTCTAAGGGGTACATAGTTGGCCTGTTTTAAGGCAAAATATCTGTCCCAATCCAACATACCTTAATTTCCCAAGGACAGTCCAGATTTCTCGCCTTTCGCCGTATTGTCGACCCTACCTTGCGGAAATCTAATTATTGTATTTTGTTCTTGTTCTAAACATGCATGTAATATTTGCCACTGGAGTAAAGCAAACAACCATCAATCAATCAAGTTCTTCTAACGTTCACCTTTGAGCGTAAGACAAACTATTACTAGAGTCTTACCAACTAAATTAATCTATATAGTTATTTTTTAAAACGAGAGGGATATCTGCACTTTACAACGACCAGATAATATATGGATGGTGTGATATTATACATATAATACAATCTAAGAGATGATAATATTCGTATATTCTATTCGTGTATATCTTGTACATGTTGTATCGGGTTTTTAAGTGTTTCCTGTTTTGTTAGAAAGTCCCTGTAGAACCTATTATTTCCTGTGTGTTTGTGGATATTATACATGTTATGTTGATGAATTAGTCTGACTAAAAGGTTCAAGGCCTGACCATTACATTTTTAATACGCCACCACTTGATAACGCGGAAATCGCACATAAATAAGGTAGGTCAATGCAGACATTGCTTTGTTAATATTTATTCGTTTATACATAACGCATTATCTCTCGGGATACTGCATTCATATTAGTAAACTAAGGGTTTTCTTGACATCAGCGATCTCTAGCTGCGTTGTTCTTTATAAACTTTTGTATATGAAACAATTTAATTTGGCCAAAAAATAGCGTTTATTAATTAAGGTGGTACCTAACACTACAGGGAGATAACTCTGTAAAAATCAGCTAAACGTTTTAATTACGTTGTATTGTTAAGGAAATATTATGCTTCTCAATGATCAAAATTAGTGTTTGTCAAACTGCTATAAACCAATGAAATTTTTCTGATAAAGTGGTAGGTTCAAATTTTTTGAAATTTTTATATTTTTGTCAAAGGGTCAAAGTAAACATTTTGTCAAAATTTTATGAAAATTAAACGAGCCAAATTAATATTAGTCACGGTGTTGGGTACCACCTTAAGTCCCAACTGCAAGATATCGGAAGCGTTGGCTTGAGCAACAATCTCGTGGGTTAATTCAACACGACCAGTATTTTAATAACGATTGCTTTATTCTCTGTTAGCATTCAGTTAGTGTAATGTATAATAAACGTTCGCATTTTGAAACACTGTATAACAACTATACAGCTAATTAGAAAAATGTCTGTAAAGGATTGAAAATGACAGAAACTGCAAATTCAGATGATAAATTCAGAATGAGTATTAACACATACACACAACACATGCACGGTTCCATGATTTGATGATAGGCCCCTTCTGCGAATAAGGAGTTAAAGGACCATATTTTGAATTTTGAAAAAAAATGGCTGTAATATTACCCATAAATTACATTTTTTTTTAATTTTACAATGAGTTATGGTCCTTGTTTAAATAAATACCAGATGCCTTGTAAATTTTGAATATATAATATTAATCTTTTATAACCAATACTGGGGGGGAGGGGGGTTATAACAATTTTCCGTCTACGTTAACTGATGCTGATTTTAGTTTTTACACAAGCGTGACAAGATAACGTTCTTTACATCGAAATTTTATTCTAATTTTAGCTTCCAGTTTAAAGAAAGGAAATCCAGATCATTACCCAGAAAGTCTATATAAAAATAGAGAGACAAATCTGTTGTTCTGAAAAATTACCACTTTCTTGTAAGTCCATATAAAAATAAGGAGACGTGATATGATTGGCAATGAGACAACTATCCACCAGAGTTCAAATGACGTGGATGTTAGCAATTATAGGTCACCGTACGACCTTCAACAATGAAAAAAACCCATACCGTTATTCAGCTATAAAAGGCCCCGACATGAAAAATGTGAAACAAATCAAACTAGAAAACTAACGGCCTAATTCATATCAATACGAAAAAAAACAAATATGACAAACATGAAACAATGAAAACCATTGAACTACAGGCTCCTGACTTGGGACAGGCACATAAAGAATGTCGCGGTGTTAAACATGTTTGTGAGCGCTCAACCCTACCTCTAACCTGGGACAGTGGTGTAACTGCGCAACATGAACAAACTATAAAAATCAGTTGCAAATGTTTTAATTCAATAGATCGGTACGAAGCACCAAAAAAAAAATGTCTTATATTCTTGTATATAGTTTTCCGTGTGAAACTGGAATATTCAAATCTAGAAAAGGGCAATTATTGCCGACTGTATTAGATATATTTGAAGTTAGTTCCCTTGGAAAATTTTCGCTGTAAAATTAGAAAATTCTTAATTATTTAAAGCAAAAATGTCATCAAGGTAACGGTAAGTGTTTTTAAATTAATCAACTAAATGTAGTCTGATTCATAACAATACAGGAACAAGTCTGCTATTAAAGGGGCGCAATTGGTGCCTATAGGAGTGCCTACAACCTGTCGTTAAACTTTATTGTAAAACATACAAAGATGTTGTCAAGAAGAACCTAGCCTGAAGTGTTGATTATACTTCAATTAGACAGCTACCCACAAACACAAAAACTTGAGACACATCTAGAGGTCAAAAAGAGATCTTCGACAATAGAATCGTGCCTATACAATATGCAAAGCTCTTGATCGTCGATATTAAAGAGATGAAAATAATTGAAGCAGAGACATGTAAAGATCAACACGAAATTCCTGAATGACAAAATTCGACTTATTTAGATTTTGTGGTATTTTAATATGTAGTAGATCATTTGAGCTATCAACGGAGACACAGTGACAAAGGAAAGATATGCGGAAATTTTTTTTTCAACCATTGTATCAGGGCATTACTATTGAATAATTTTGCATATAAATACAATATTGTTTGAAGTTTTATTCAATGAAAAACATCAGGTATTATATAATAAATTATCACAAAATGTTATCAAACACGTAAGGTGTGCACAAGTGGTCACATTTTAACGAAAGTTGTAGATTTTGACGAACTATTGAAAGAATATATAATAATTTAACGTCGATTTATTAGACGCGGAGGATTCACAAAAAAAACTCCCATTAACAGACACTAAAAACAACAGTAAAAACATTTCTGCTCAGCAGCCGACATCCAAAGGTACGACAAAGACACCTATATTATACAAAAATATATATTTGACATAGCTTCTTTGTTTTAATGTATATAAAGTTGTACGGTTTCTGTTTCAAAGTTATCAAGATGCACATTCATAATGTACCTCAGGGGCCTCGGCGGCCGAGTGGTCTAAGTAGTTCATCTACTATCCCTAGCCTGTCAACACTGATGTTATGAGTTCGACTCGAATATTAATTGACTAATATTGCCAGTTGTCCTGTTGAAGGTCGGCGGTTCTCTCCGAACACTCCAGCATTTTCCACCAATGAAAACTGGCAAAAAGGTGCTAAAAGTGGCGTTAAACACCAAATAATCAATCAATCTATCAATCATATTGAATTATTTATACAACTCATGCATACTGTTTACATTTAAATGTCATTTTATATTAATTGACTAATTAAAGAATGCATTTTCGTATTGTAGATAAGTGAAAATAAAGAAAAAGATGTTCGAAACATTGAACAAACAGATAAACTGGTTGCAACCAAGCATAATGCGACCAGAGGATGAAGCAGAACTACCAACCGGAAGCTATGTTCCAATTCTCTCTGACATAATACTTCCGTCCTTTGCCATGGCGATTTCTATGTTTGTACTACGAAAATTGTTTGACAGGTGACTATATAATTATATATAAATATGATACTTGATTTTTATATAAAAATGAAAGGATTACAATATCAAAATGCTGAACTAATTTATTGAATATAACAACACAGTAAAATTCATGTGCGGATCTAGGATTTGATGTTAGGAGGGATGTTCTTGATGATTGGGAGTTAGAAGACCATATTTCGACAAAAAATTGGCAGTGATTTTAACTATAAATTACTTTTTATCGGGGGATGGCGCCGAGTGCGCCCCGGCTGAATCCGCGCCTGAAATTTTATTTTAATTCGGTAACTTGCTACTCTTTCGTTCAACGAAAATAATATATCTAAGACTTCTATTTTTTAAAGTTCCTGTCAGATTCTATGCATTTTGCAAAGATTGGAAACCTTGACGGCCAATAAGTTATTAAAAAAAATGTCATATGATAGAGAAAATTGGCAACTGTCATCAAATGATTAAGAAAAAAGACTTCTTTTTATTTATATATTTTTTTGTAGATAATACGTATGTGTATTGTTTATTTGCTTTATTTCATGTATTTAGTAGCAATCCGATTATTTGGATTTTACTCTAATAAATATCTTATTTTATCTGTTAACCCCTCTTATTGACGGAATAACTATAGATGCCTGATTAAGTAACGGAACTAGTGTATTTTACTGAATTCATGGAGTATATACATGAGGGTGTGGATGGGGGTTTATAGAATAGAGAATAATGGGCAAAAAAAATATAGAATAGACAAAATGACCGAAACAATAGAGAATAATGAGGTGCTAAAATATATAGAATAGAGAATAATGGGCATAAAGTATATAGAATAGAGAAAAATGGCCTTAAAAAATAAAGAATACAGAAATGAAGGACCCCATACAGACCCTCATACATTATATAATGGTCCTTGTTCATGTTTATCACTTTTCATGATTCCTCGTATTTTCTTTGGTGTTAGACATCAAAACTGAAGATTGGAAAATTTGAAAAATAAAATTAAACATTTCTCTTTTTTAAACGGATTAAACAGGATTGTATGACATTTATTCTTTTATTGATTTAAATAAAATAACAATCATTATATTAATAGAAATAGTTCTAATAATTATGAGTACTATTATTATAATAATCTATTATTAATAGTAAAATTAATAATAATCACTGACAGGTTTATCGTGTTGCCGTTTGGAGCTTACTTTGGAGTTAGTGAAACAGTCGTAAAGCAACATTATATTCGTCAACCAGTGTTAGAATCAGAATATATAATAAACAAGTCTCCTAAAGATGACGTAATTTTGGTAAGTTAATTTAACAGAGAGAATTTCTTCAGATTTCTTTGAAAGAAATTAGTTTTTAATTTTACTAGACACGGCTTTCATTTTCTGAACGGACTATTATAACATATTCATTAGACCAAAGAAAAACAGAAGAGATTATTCGTCCCTAGTCGACTTTATGGACTAAATGTAGGTATGGGGTATACGTTTATGAGACAATAGACCAACGAAATGCGAACGAACACACACACACACATAAATGTAGATGACAATTTAAGGTCTTCCACAATTAAATGTCTATACGATATTTCTAAAATAAAGAAAAGTAAAAAGTATGTTTCTGTGAAATAGTGACATACATAACATATATTTAACGGTAAAATAGTATTTGCCACTTCAAGCTCGGAATATGCAGGATAGATTTAACTTTTTTTTCAAATTGACAGCTTATGCTTCTGTAAATATTCTCAAGTGATGATTAAAGAAATGATTTTGTATTTTTATGTCAACAGATTTTATGTAAGAAAACTGGTATGACGGAAAGACAAGTACAGGTTTGGTTCAGAAAAAGACGTAAAGAAAACCAGGCCTCTGATTTAAAAAGACTAAGTGATGCTGGGTATAAAGGTTTATTATTAAAAATTGAAATATATATTTTAAATTATTCAATTTTGTACTTGTAAAGTAAAGTATTTATTTGCGTGAAAAGTACGAAAAAGATGCATTCAAAGACAGTAAATGATGAAAATGAAAATAACTCGCATGTCACACCTCCAGCTGCCTCTCTCGCCCTTGGGTGGAGGTAAAAAGGTGGCAAGTATTACAATACAAAACAAGGGGATGTGGTTGTAAAATAGACAAGTAACCAGTAGAGTACAAATGGTGTGGACTTTATCAAAATGTAGGTTAATATACAGCCTTCAACAAGGAACAAAACCCATACCGAAATAGCCAGACAAAAGAAAACGCATGATTATGACAAAACAATATACGGAAAACAAATTATTTTTTTGACAGACAGCAAGCAACAACAAAACCCTGAATTACTGGCTCCGGGCTTTGGGCAGGCATATGTCGAATGTGACAGAGTACAAGTCTATTAATACGGTCAAACGGCTGATGTGAATTTGACTCGAAACAGTAACCAGTGAAATAGTACAAATACATATGAAATAATGCCTATAGTTCTACCATAATATGGTTCTACGTAAGACGATCATCTACCCCTCAAAACATTCAATTCTAAATAACATTGAATCGATTCAAAAATAGTTAATGTATTGCCACATATAATAATAATCAACTTGGAATGACATTTTTTTTTCAGGTGGTCGTTTATTTTTTATGCTTTGTTATCATGGTATGGACTTTATGTCTTGTGGGACGTAAGTATTGCAAGATTTCTGAATAAGATTATATTAACATTATACTTCATTCGATCACTTTACTTCAGGTCTTAGTAATCGATAAAAGACAAGCTGATCATGTACTAGATCATTTGTAGATAATATGTTTTTTTTTATAAAATTTCCATAAATGATCTAGTATCAGCTTGTCTTTATGGTGCAATGACACAACAAGATAAAAAAAAGAAAACATCTTATTTGAAATTGGCTTTCAAATATTCTGCTTTGATCGTTCTCGATGAAGATAAATCTAGAAAAGCATTTCGAATGCATGAAATTTACAAAGTATTGTTGTTATTTTCACAGCAATGGGTCGATACCACTGCCTGTGGACTACACAATTTTTAAGTCTCGATGGTATCATGATCATCTCAGTAGTCAGTACTACGGTTCAGACATGATTTATAACTTATCTTTTTTAAATTGTCCGTTTATAAATTATTAAGAAACTAAGATTTCAACTCTCTCAGTCAAGGTTGATCTTGGATAGATTTTGGCTTTTATTTGTAAGTCGTTTTTGGTTATATGTAACTCTTCAATCTGTTATTAGAGACTATCTTCAGAATTATATGCACTATCTACAAAATGTAAATTAGCAATATAAAATGCATCTTCCTTACATTGAAAATCTGATATGTAGCATAAAATTACATGTACATTTTGGCAGCATAAATTACATGTTTGCATAAATGATCTAATATCTACGTTACAACATTACGTGATATTTTTGTCTGATTTTTACATTTCTAATAAAAATCAAATGTCTTAAGATGTTACTTTTATACGTTCAGCTTTTATTACAGATTCTTTCATCAATATTTTAAAGGAGGAAAATATTTGATGAATATTGCTCAGTCAACCATGAAAGTATTGTATAACTTTATCTTCCATGCTTCAACTGATTTGACTTTTAATCTGTCTACCGCCACAATCACAGATCTAATTTAAAAAGATTATGTGTGTGACTTTGATATGATAAAAGGAGATGTGGGGTTTTAATGTTTATAATCAAGACAACAACCAACCGACACACAACCAAAACGCTGCTATGTACCCTTATTAGTCACCTACCGAGGAAGTCAAAGGGGACTTTAGGTTTGCACTCCGTCCGTCCGTCTGTCCTGTCTGTCTTTCCATCCGTCAGTCCGTCAAATCAGTTTTCCACACTTTTTTTCTTCGTGTTTGTAGTTATTGATTTGAATTTTGGTATATAGTTTTATCATGAGAAGTTACAAATCAAGATCGAATTATGTTCCGGTCTGATGATTTTGTGCAGAGTTATGGTCCTTGGACTTAGAAAATTCACTCAAATAATCAGTTTTCCGCACTTTTTTTTGTCATGCTTGAAGATATTGATTTAATATTTAGTATATAGTTTTATCATGACAAGTTACAGATCAAGTTCGAATTTTGTTCCAGTCTGATGATTTTGTGCAGAGTTATGGTCCTTGGACTTAGAAAATTCACTCAAATAATCAGTTTTCCACACTTTTTTTGTCATGCTTGAAGATATTGATTTAATAATTGGTATATAGTTTTATCATGACAAGTTACAGATCAAGTTCGAATTTTGTTCCGGTCTGATGATGTTGTGCAGAGTTATGGTCCTTGGACTTTAGAAAATTCACTCAAATAATCAGTTTTCCACACTTTTTTTCGTCATGCTTGAAGATATTGACTTGATATTTGTTATATACTTTACACCATGACAAGTTATAGATTAAGTTAGCATTTTGTTCCAGTACATTGAATTCTTAACCGGTAGGGGACTAAGTATTGCCATGCAATACTCTCAAAATGCTTATTTTGTTCTCTTGTTAAGTGCTTTTTAACAATCTATTATTTTTTATAACAGAAACCATGGTTTACAAGTTCAATGGATTGCTGGATAGGATGGCCTGCACAGGTAAAATACTTTCATATATGAAATAATTGTCACTGTAGTTTCTCTTATAGGGTCTGGATGGGGTTTGAAGAATAGAGAATAATGGCCAAAAATACAGAATAAAGGACCCGCAAGATAAAGAATATTGAAAAATAGACCTCATAATATAAAGAACACAGAATAAATTGTTGCTAAGATATAAGATAGAGAATAATGGGCAAAATAATTAAAGAATACAGATTAATGGACAAAATAAATAAAGAATAGAGAAAATAGCCTAAACATTTAAAGAATATAGAAATAAAGGACCCCATCCAGAACCTCCTTTAAGGGGTTGTTATTGTCCGGTTGGCCTTGACATTTATCATAATATAGAATAATAAATATAAGCTTATAAAGCTCTCTTTGCATGATATATGATTATTCAGTGCACTTCAAATTTTAAAAAAGTGAGATTTTTTATGTAGAGAAGAATATTCCACGAAAACAAGCACGAACCCAAGAATAGTTTTAACATAAACATAAGGAGATGTGGTATGATTGTTAATTAGACAACTATCCACCCACGTGTAGCCACCAAAGTGGATGTAAGCAATTGTAGGCAACCATACCTCATTCGGCAGTTAGATAAGTTCCATATCGTATTGTCGGCTATAAAAGGCTAAAACATGAAAAATGTGAAACAATAACAGTCGTTTTGAAAGTAAATGGCTTTAAATCTTTATATCACAGGTATCTTTAAACAAATCGTCGTGTGATAATGATGTATTTTACATTTGATGATAATGGTAAAAATAAGAACACAATGCCATAAATATTTTACTGAGACATAAAAAGTTTTGTAGGAATCGAATTTACTGTACATGAAGAGAAACTCTTTGTTCGATTGTTTTTTTTAATAGACAAGCAACTTAGATAAACAAATCATCCCCTTTTTGGGAGATAGAACATTTCACTACAAACAATGTTGTTTTAGAAATGTATCCCTATATTTCCATTGGAGATAGACCATGGATTTTTAACTGTGTAATATAATATTCCCAATTCTGTACTGCTGAATATGCTAAGAATTGCTCATAGATTGAGTTTAAACCATGCATACCATTTAGTCATAGTACTACTAAGATAATTTTGATAACAATTATTTAACAGCAAAAATACATGAGAAATAGTGGAGATACAACACTATAAAAATGTGTTTTCTCAAAACAAACTAGATGAATAAACCATTATAATCAAATATGAGTGTTCAAACAGTGTAGTACTGATAAAAACTCGTAGAGTGTAGAAACCACGTATTATAGTTGTACAGGGAGATATACCATAGCCCTTGGATCTCAAATATATAGCTATCTCCATTATTATCAAAAGTGGACATATAACACTATAAGATTCACATGACAAATGTTTACCTTTTTTTTTTAATAATAAATATTTTACGAATCCATTTATCTTATTTCTAGGCAGTAACTGACGATGTTTATTGGTATTATTTGATAGAGCTTGGATTCTATATGTCGTACCTATATATGATATTTACTGACCACAAAAGAAAGGTATGGTTTGCTGCTGCTGGTATAGTTTCTCCATCATTCCATAGAAAATATCTTTGTTTCAAGAGAGGAAGTTTAAAGATTATCTAAACCACTGGTATCAAATACGAAAAATATAATTTTATAAATGATAACAATTAAAGGAACACTAAATAAATAGATTTTGCAGAAACGTTAAAAAGGACTTGGTTCTAGAATATTTACTTGAGGTTAAACAAAATCACAACACACTGAAAGTAACGGTAATTAAATGTATACTACGGAATTTATCTGACATGAAAATTAATAAAATAACACATTGCATAATACATCACAAAAATAATAAAAAACCCATAAATTTATATATGTACACATCATGCAGTTGTTGAATACACTCTCCTCAATGACCTGGACTTTTTAATAGGAGCAGCATACGGCATAACTGACGGACTTAATGATCTGGATTGTCTTGTCATTATCTGAACGTAGTCGTGAATGGTCCGGAAAGGTATGCCAAGTACTCCCGACAGTTCGGTGCGTCCCGTAACATTCAGGGAATTCAGCCGATTTTGTCTAGTCGGATTACAATCGTGACTATGTCATGACATATTCTGCTGTATCGGATCAAAATCATAACAATGTTCTGTGTTGTCTGGACGGTGTCCTCTGGAACGGGCATGATCCAGAGAAGTTTTTCATTGGAGTTTCTTGCCGATTAAGTCCTAGATCTTTCTGATCCAGCCAGATCCAGTTGGATCCAGCCGGATCCAGTCGGAAGAATTTGGACGCTGTCGGGACAGAGTCGGTCGTTTTTTACCATGCGAAAGATACAATTCGGATTGAGAACGGGATAATCGGAACAAATTCGGCTGGAAACGGCTGAATCGGGACGCTTCTTGAACAATATCCGATTGTTGTCGTGATTATATAAATGTTTTTTACGATAAAATTTGACTTTCCATTCACGAATCACAGGATCTTGATCAGAGAATAGGCACTTGCCTCTGAAAAAAAATACCTAGTTATTTTTTTCCAGAGACAAGTGTCTGTAGATCAGGCTTATGACAAATTTCAATCGGGAATAGTCCCACCAAGGACGGCAGTAAACATTCTGAATGTGTTACTGAGGAATAGTTCAATCACTTTAAAAGTTATTAATGTATATGTATCTCGGTTCTTATTTTTTTTTAGGATTTCAACATTTTTTTCTTTTATAGGATTTTATGGAATTTTTAGTTCATCACAGCGTAACAGTAGCATTAATGATATTATCTTGGTCTATAAATTGTGTACGCATCGGAACATTAGTATTAGTAATACACGATCAAGTGGATTATTTTTTAGCTGTAAGTACTGTATCGTTTAAAAGGGATTTTGTCCACTAAAAGATAACAAAAATAATAATATTTATATACGTCCGATAAACATGTATTGCTTACAAATGCACAGGAGGCGGTTGTCTTAACAATTTTTCTAGTTAATACAAATACGATAATTGTATATATAGTTTGAATGGAAAAAGTTCAAATTGTTCCAACAAGTTCTATTTATTAGTGTTCAATTCATTCGTTGTTTAATCTTTTTAGCAAGACATAACTTGAAAAAGAGGACTTAACTGCTATTAAGTTATTAACACTTATGGATAATAATATTTTGGTATTGCACAATGTCATGCTTTTCTTAGACATATAATGACTTATTTACACAAAATCCGTTGGAGGTGTACTGGAATAAATGAGTAATGTGAATAAATCAGATAGGTCATATTGATGGGCGTCGTTCATAGTACAATCTGCCTTATTTCACATGTATTTGAACTATATACACGGATTGATTTTAGGCTGGGAAGCTTGTTGAATTTGGGCTTTGAACTTGCTTTCAGTCTTTAATCTTTTTGTGCTTAGTACTGACCTGGTGAGTCAAGCTCTTTCCAACTGCTTTCTTTCAAAATAAGGTAACTTACGTTTAAAGTAGTCTAGGTTTTATTTTCAGATCTGCCTCGGATAATAAGAATGCAACGAGATATGGGGTATACGTCAATAAGATATAAACTCAACGACACAAAAACAGAGAAAGACATCTAGCGGTTAAGAGACGGTCTTCTACAATAAACTAGTGTGTATAGAATATTTCAAACTCTTAATCGCACATTCTCAATCTAGGAAAGTCGTGAATAAATTTCACAGATTTTAAAAGACCAATCATCAACACTAAATCCCCGAAAAAAACATTAACAGACGCACTTTGACGAGGCTCCTGACGTGGGACTTATTACGCATGGACACAGCGGGGTCAAATTACCTTCGGTTCGCTAAGCATCCCACCCCGATTTTGTCCTTTTCGATAAGTAATGCAACAAACATGCAAACAAAAAGAACTAAAAACAATAGTTTTTTTTCAAATAATACCATATCAATGAATGCTTGCAGTTACTGAAGGCAAGCTCAAAATCCTTTATTTTTTATAAGTACTAGTAAAGCAGTAATACTAAAAATAACGTATCTAGAATTATCACAGGTACCAAAGGAAAAACTCAAAATTTCTAAACCTGCAGATAAAGAAATAGGCACCCTATGTGCACGGTAAACCTACTGATATAGAAATAATGCCGTGTTATGCTTAACCTGCTGATAATGCCGCACAGTCAATCCAAAAAATACCTTTATACCTTAAAAAACCGCGTATATAGGTTTATTTTCAGAGACAACGACCTGTGTAATGCCGTCCTAAAATTTTAAGTTTCATATCGGTCTTTAATCTTGGGAGTACAACAACGGCATGCATGCACGTAACAGAAAGGCACGACCTTGTGCTAACTAAAGGAAAGAATATGATGACACACCTGTTACAAATATTAAATAAAGATAACAATAAGGAATTCTAATGTCAGAGAGAAGCGAAAGATACCAAAGAGATATTCAAACTCACAAGTCGAAAACAAACAGACGATGCCATGACGAATAACAATCAAACGACAAATAATAGTATACAAAACACAACATAGAAAACTTCAGTCTAAGCAACACGAAACTGGGGGCGATCTTAGGTGCTCCGGAAGGGTAAGCAGGCCCTGAACCACTTGTCAAACCTATATAAGGTTTAAAGACAAGACAACGACCATTTTATGTTATCTGTCTAAATTCAGGTGGATAAGTGCCATTGTTAGATTAAAATAATCTTGATTCTTTGGAGAGAATGTGTCACGGGTCTAAATAGCTGTCGTTTAAAATGCAAGTCCATGACGTTACGTGGGTTCTTTATGAAGGTTAACTTGAAATGGGAGTCATACATGTAAGATTAAAGGGAACACATTTTCAATGATATGGGCACCATTTGTTCCCATTGAAAAACTATTCACTTTTGTAAATATATGTTATCTCATAAACGAAAATTATATAGCAAAACAAGTAATGATTTTTTTTTTGCATGTTTGATTAAATTTGCATATTTTTCAGTTGGCAAAAATAGCTGTTTATATTAAGAAACAAACAATGGCAGACATTGTTTTTGCAATATTTCTTCCTATGTGGATAGTAACAAGACTTATGGTTTATCCATATGTGTAAGTAGATTACTAAGAGTTAGTCATATATTTAGGTTATTTAGTGAATAGTGTACCAATTTATATAACTTATGTATTAATAATTTGACCATTTGTTAAAAAAAGATTTTACCTACAAAGACTAGTGAGTTCACCGTCAAATTTCCGCCCATTTCAAAGATAAAGCAAATCATATTTTGTATAATTGTCCCACATACAAATTCCAAATGTATAAAATTTCCTCATACAATGTTAAAATAAGGAGATATATATCATGGTATGATTGCCAATGACACAACTATCCACCAGAGCTAAAATGACGAAGATAAAATCAATTACAGGTCACTGTAGGGCCTTCAACAATGAACAAATCCATACTGTATAGTCAGCTATATAAGGCCCCAGCATGAAAATTGTGAAACAATTCAAACGACAGAAACTAACAGCCTAATTTATACAAATTCAATACAATTTACGAAAAACAAATATGACAGACATGAACCAACAGCAAACACCGTACTACAGTCTCTGACTTGACAGGCACATAAACATGTACCGGTGTATAACATGTATGTGAGCTCTCAACCCTCTAGCCTGGGACAGTACAGTACAACATTAGAACAAATGCAAATGGCGTAAAGTTTGTTATAATAATAAACCTAAATTAAAATATGAACGAGACTCGATTAAAAATACAAGAGTCACTAAAGAGGTGACAAAAAATCTGATTAACTAGACTATCACTTTTTACTAATTTTTGGAATGTAAATCGAAATATTGGTGATGATAGCATTGATGTCAGATGTAAAAACATTCGTAGGCTATAACACTAATGGCATGTTCTGTCAATGTTTATTTTTATGCCCCCACCGCAGCGGAGGGGGCATTAAGTGTTACCCTTTTGTCCGTCTGTACGTCTGTCCGTCAGTACGTTCGTCTCAAGACAATATTTCTCGTCTCTTGATATTTTGTTCGTGTGTTGATTAAAGTATTGTAATAGATTTGAAAGATAAGTCAATTACAATTGGTTGTTATGCAGTTTGTGGCATTGCTTTGCTGTTTCTCTCACATTTGTATGCCCCCGTCGTCACGCCGTCACCACAGGGGCCATTAAGTGTTACCCTTGTCCGTCCGTACGAACGTACGTTCTAAAATTGGTTTCCGTTCTCTAACTTTAATTTGCTTCAACCAAATGTTATGAAACTTAAATAATGCTTATTGCATCAAAACAGATCAAGTTCGTATTTGGGTGGCGTCACTTCTACCGTTCTGGAGTTATGCCCCTTTATATATGCGTTTCCGTTCTTTAACTTTAGTTTGTCTCAACCAAATGTTATGAAAATTATACACAATGCTACATTACCACAAAACTCAGATAAAAAAATCGAATTTTGGTGATTTCACGTTCACCGTTCTCGAGTTATGCCTCTCTATAGCGTAATATGCAAGCGGGGGCATCATGTGTGTCCCATGGACACACTCTCCATTTAATTTTTTTTAATAATGCCATATACTAAATGTGTCGTTAATGTAATCGTTTTCTTCCTGTTATATTTTATTTTCTAATAATGTGATTGGCTTTAACATGTGAATGTTTGACTTGATTTCATCTTCTAAGTTTCTTATTTGCCTAACAAGGAATCGTTTATAAATTACGCTTTCTTAAAAGGTATTTGTCCATTGTTGAAGGCACAATGGTGACCTGTTGTTAGATGCATACTGTCTAGTCCTTTGGTTGTTATTGGATTGAATTGGGATAAAAGGAGATGTTGGGCGTATCAATGACATCAAACGAACATAACAAACAAATAACATGTCTCTTTATATTACTATCTGTAAATTGTGGTCCGTTGTTGAATCAAATTGAACTAATAATTTGTTATACTTCTTGTTTGCAGAGTATTATATTCTATATATATAGACCTTCCAGCTTATGCTAATGATAGTCGGCCATATATACAAATGCATGATAGAAGTACCATTGGACAAGTTTTAAAATCTTTATTGGTAGTTTTACAAATACTCCATATCATGTGGACGATAATTATTTTGAAGTCAGCAGCAACAAAATTCACAAAAGGAAAGGTAATAAAACTAACTGTACCAGTTTTACTGCACCAGTCGGGAATTTAAGGTCTCTTCACTCGACTTCAGTGATGTTGGAGGCCAAACTATTTGAAATTTCCAATTATCTTACAAACGTTGAAGAGTTTGTAAAACCAAAGCGAAACGAAAGTAAAGCCCGGTGACCCGGACAAGGAAACAGAGCTTTGCATGAGAGATACATACTTAATTAAAAAAAACCGCGTAGAGCAGTATGAAAGTTGTAATACCGTGTAAATGAACCACATTCATACATTTTGAAAAGTACCATTCATTTTTTTTTCTCATTTTCTTCTCTATTTGCTTTAAATCTTATTCAAATGTCATTTATAGTCTTAAATCAGAATTATGAACGAAAATACTATCAAAAGTAAATATAAGTTGTAGTTAAATAGTAAATTCGAAGACATGCTTCTGTTGATTTGTTTAAAAAATTGGACAACCCCACGATTACAAAACCACAGTATATTATTCAACATATGTCTTTATTTTTCGTCTAGCTGCAAGACACGCGTAGTGATACGGAAGAAGAGGATGGAAACGAGGCTAACACCGAAACAATAGACAATAAACGTAATTTTAAAATATCAAACGGAAATGCTGTAAATGGCAAAGATGGTAATATGGAAGCAAATGGAAATAGCTATAGCAATGGGAGGACTTAATTCCTCAAATCAGAATACTCTGTTATTTCATTATTTTGTATGCAACTGTAATTTTATGCCATGCAATGTTCTATGATATGCCATATAAACTACACAAAATAACTTCTTTAGAATAGAAATATTTTTTTTATAGACTAAATATCAGTTTTTGCAATTATTTTTTATTATTATTAAATTTTTATAGTTACATCATACACATGCTTTAATAATTCCAATCAAAAATTGATGTATTACTTATTTATTCAAGGGGCATTAACTACGAATTAGACAAAAAAATGAAATATGATTTTTTTTTTGGTTTCAAACATTCATAAAAGCGGAATGTTGAAATAACATTTCGCTATTAGCAGTCAACATCGCTGACATGTATTATTGACTTGCACCTCATTTAAATCCGTATTCATGCAAACTTTAATTTGACCTTCAGAGGAGATGGTATGCATATGTATTCAGCATATAGTTCATTAATTAAAAAGAAAAGAATGTGAACATTGAAAAGTGAAACAAGGGCGCATCAGAAATAACAATTTCGTAGACTTATCCGGACCACAAAAAATCATTTTGATACAGGCAATACGATGATATATATGTATTTTTAATCTATAACATGAAATCAAACAGACCTAGAAATATCGTCATTATACGATTGCTCGTACTTGACTGTCTATTTATATTTTTATTTATGTTAATATTAGGTTATTTTTTGCATTTGGATCTTTTGTAATTTGGATATACGTTTCAGTATGTTAACTTAAAACTAAAATACAAGAATTTGTCACGAGTCAAATCGGTGAACATGAATTATACAGCTAATGCCCCTTTAATAATTCCAGGCCAAAATCGTTTGAAAGACACACGTTTTGGTGTTTAATAATGATATATATTGATGTTTCACTTCTTTATTCAAAAGCAATATTTTCGACTGAAATACAACTTGGAGATTAAGGAAGACCTTTTTTTACATGTTACTATTAGAAAATGGGTGATTGGGGGATCTAATATTAGGTCCCAGTGTGACTGAAATGTATAAAAGACCTGCTTTTGATTGATGCATTTACATTTTTGCATATTCATTTTTTAATGTTATCTTTATTTTAATCATTATCAATTATTTGTTTTTTTCCATGGTGTATAAATTCCAATTGCAGTTGATTGGAAAAATATAAAATACTGAAGAAATATATTATTTTGGGTTATTATTTAACAGTTAGCAGAGAGAAGTTTCCCATAATGTAAGATGTAAGCTAAGACCACCACCAGATTTTATTGACCGAATGTGTCTTTGCTACCATTTTGTGACCTAATATGTTATATATTTAATAGCGATATAGACTATGTCTAGTGTATTAGAATTTTCTTTTGAAGTCTTGGATAACCTGCATTTAGTCAGGTTTTCTCCCATGCCAGTTATGTTTTTTTTTCTTTCTGTTTTTACAAGACATGACAGCATGTATCTACATAACTTAATATGTATATTCATCAATTCCTGCAGATATTTAAACAGCATATTCTTGTTAGTAATACATAAAATAATACATATTTTTCTTAAACAAAACCATTAGAATTTTTAATTAATCTTACTCAAACTAACATTAATAGTGGTCTTTGTCTTTTATTTTGGAACTTAAAAATTAGAACTTTCCACATTTATATTTAAGCCAAATTTTAAAGAAACGGAACATCCTAGTAACCTTTTCAATTGTAAATTCCCCGTTGAGATCTTGTTATGAAGTGACATCAGACATCTTAATATAACCAACCAGAGTGCCATTTTAAAACAACAGTTGTATAAATTTTGTGATATGCTAAAAAATGCAGAATGAATTATGAAAAATGGAAGTTATTCTGATTTATAAAAATATTGTAATGATTTTAAGACCAATTTTCTCACATTTAACTGGTACAGTGATAACATGGTTCACTCACGGATATTTCATGGAAGTCCAGTGCTTTTTAAATTCTAGGGTTCACAAGGTGAATTTTAACATGGTCCGAAATTATGTGCTAAAAACGACATGTACGATTGAGGATACAACGTTGGGTGAAACGTCAAGTACTATCCTTCAAGCGTATAACAAGATAATCATGCTTTTTGAACAAACTTGTAAAGCAAAAATACCTTCTTTAATACTATATATACATCATACAACCTGACTCGGGATTGTTAGTGAATCAATTTTTAGAGACTTTTCGTATCATGTGAAAATTTGTATTTTCCCTTTACTCAACACTGTTGAAAGCTTCAGATGGCGAATATGACTCAAACTATTCACACTTGATTTTTTTAAGAAGCCAAGTTCTCATGGTGTTCTATATAATTTCGATACATGTAGCTGATGTAAATCTTTTGGTTATCAGTTTGAACGCGTACCCCACGCATTTTATTCGAACGTTAAGCAAGCAGATTGGGACCTCCTCCCCCATATAAAACAGCTATATTAGCTATATTTATAATTTTATTATAACCTTATCACCAGAAGATGTTCAAGCATGTTTCTTATCGGACATTGACAAAGGAAAACAAATGTTACAGTAGGTGCTTGGTAGTAAGGTCACGTCAGTGATAACATTCTAGTAGATGTGATTATGGGAAGTTTAAACAGTGATAACCATATAAAAATAGTTTTAACGTATTAATATTGAGAATGATTATCAATATCAAAAGAATTGTGCAAACTTCCGCAGTTGACCCTTCATTTCTTTCCTAGAATTTCCCATCGCCACCTTCTAAAAACCTGCTTACTTAAAACACAAGTAGGGTGAAAATCTGAAAATTAATACAAAAAAATTATCATTATAGTTGAGAACGGGTTAATCTTGATGACAGTGGTACACTAGATACTAAAGATATAACATTTCTCTCGTAATTAAGATATGAAAAATCATGTGAAAAAAAAAAAACTCACCGAGAAAAAACAAAGAACACATACATTTTAAAAGTTTTCGAACCATATGTCCACACAATTCTTTTATATCTATCTAGAAAGCATGAAAAAAGCGAAAAAGATGAGAAGAAATTGAAAACTTTCAAAGATCAAAGAATTATACTTTATGTAAAAGGCGGAGCGTTAAATACTGAATAAATTAATTCAGCCATGTTTCGTGTTGATGTGCCTGTTCAATGTTAGAAATCTCTTATTGTTTTGTCTATTTGTCTCACGTTCCTTTTACTCTCTCGCTCGTTCGCGCACTTATTCTCACCCTCGTTCGCGCTAACTCTCTCACTCGTTCTCACACACACTCTCTTGTTAACACACATACACTTGTTTGCGCTCACTGTCTTGTTCGCTCCCTCTATAACTTGTTCGTTCTCTCATCATTTTAATCATTCACTCGCTGTTTTTCACTTACTTTCTCGCTCACTCTTATTCCTTGTATCGTGCACTCGATGCCTATCTCTCTCTCGTTCACTCGGTATATCTCTTGTTCCCTCAATGTCTCGCTTTCATTCACTCAATATCTTTCTCGTTCATTCACTCAATATATTTCTCTCTCTCGTTCACTTGTCAACGTATATTTGTTCCGCCTAACAGAAGTTCCACTGGAAACTTTGTTATAAACAATGTCATAATATCTGTTCCTGTTGGAACAAATATGCTATACCATTTATTCCGTTCGAGGAACATATACTGTAATATTTATTCCAGTTGAAATAATATTCCAAAATATTTCTTCCATTTGGAACTTATATTATGAAGGAACTTCCATTTCGTGACAGGCAATTTTATTTGAAATAAAGAACCCATTGTATTCTGTTTGAATAAGTTAACCGTTGGCGCTTTGCTTGTTGAGTATCCTGGTACTTTTCTTGTTCCGTTTGCTAGATATTTTTCTTATTTTGTCTCTTTAAAAAATATTTATCGCGATGAAATAAAGGGTGCTAACTGTGATTCCTTTATATATTTCATTGTAATTTAGCAACATAACAATATATGGCATCTAGAATTTAAACCGGTTCACGCGTAGTCAGTGAAGCGTTAGAATATAAACAAAACTTTAGGAGGAAATATCAAACAGAAAAGACGTCTGTTTGGGCCTCCCTCAAAACTGGGTAAGTTCATTTTTATCTAAAAAAATATATAAAATTACAAAAATACCAAACTCCAAGGAAAATTCAAAACGGAAAGTCTCTTATCAAATGGCAAAATCAAAAGCTCAAACACGTTAAACGAATGGAAAACAACTCATATTTCTGACTTAGTACAGACATTTCCTTATGTAGAAAATAGTGGATTAAACCTGGTTTTATAGCTAGATTACTTCTCACTTGTATGACAGTCGCATATAATTTCATTATATTGACACTAATGAGTGAGCAAAACAATCGGACATAATAGGTAAAAATGTCAAAAATTGGGAAACAACAGACAACATTGTTCCTTCATAATGTAAGTTCCAAATGGAAAAACTATTCTGGAATATTATTTCCACTGGAATAAATATTACAGTAAATGTTCCTAACGGAATAAATGCTATAGCATATTTGTTCCAACAGGAACAGATATCATGACATTGTTTATAACAAAGTTTCCAGTGGAACTTCTGTTAGGCGGAACAAATATACGTTGACACCCTCATATAATAAATGTTGTGAGTAGTATTGATTTAAATGGACAATAGACATCTGCAAACAATAGGTGATTTAAACTGTGTAACCATGGAATACTTCCATGGTGTAACTGAGTGGACCGTATCAAATGAAACTCATGTGTTTGTTTATTTTGCTAACTTCTGCAGACTGGGAAAAAATGCACATCAAAATCCATTTAAGTTTTTAATTTTCTGAAACATAGACTACATATAACTTTTATATATCTAGGGCCTGCCTTAAAACTTTCCTAGATGCATCAGTTTGTCTGTACACATAGTAGAGCTTGTGGTGTAAACACGGCCATATTTTTCAATTCCTTTTGATGAACCTTAATCACTATAAATGCATACAACTATGTCAACAACAACAAAAAAAAAAAACAAAATGGCATATAGACACACAGGCACTTGTCTCTGAAAAAAAAATTCCTATATACCTTAATATAACACAAGGTACTTAAGATTGCTACGGATGATTCCAAAAACAAAAGTAGGCGTGTTATTGTAACAAAAATTTGTTCCGGCGTGACATTTGTTCCGCCGGAACAAATTTCATAGAAAATATGTTCCACCGGACTTTATATTACAGAAAATATGTTCCAGCACTGTAAAATTTGTTCCGGAACTAATTTTATGGCCAAATGTGAAATAAGTTCTGGAACAAAAATCATAACTCCATGAATTTTGTTCCAATTAATATTAAGAGTTTTAAAAAGTTAAATAAGTTCCTGTGATATTTGTTTTAAACAAACGTGTACATATTTCATAGAAATCAATGTATCATAATTTGTATTTATGTTTTATGTGGTATTCCTCCTTAGTTTTTGTTAACTGTCATGGACCTGTGTTCTAGTCATACATGTACATAGGTCATAGCACAGTTTCAAAAGAGTGTGTCTTTTGTTTCTACATGTCTTTTGAGATAACTGAACAGTCATTTTTTCCTTTTCAAATAAGTACATATGTTCATCTTTAACTATACTAAGTCTTTTTTCCGAATGATTGATTTTTATTATTCTACTCTTTACTGGCTGAAAAGTGTCATTTTGATATTTTTTACGGAGTATATAATTAAACATTTGCTATACTCCACAAGATCCGAATTGGATGATTTACACTTTTTCTTTTTTTATTATTGATATAATACTTATTGAATGATACCTTTAAACTCACGGATGACAAATGCTCAGTACATAAGATAACTTGTTTAACCAGTGGAACATATTTCACAGACAAGGAACTTATTTCAAAAGGTGAGGAACAAATCTCACAAACCCAGAACTTATTTCACCAGATAAGGAACAAATCTCATAAACCGGGAACTTATTTCACCAGGTAAGGAACACATTTCACCAACCCGGTACTTATTTCACCAGGTAAATTATATAGAAATCATCTATGAAAAAAGTTCTCCCAGAACATATTTCCTGTGATATTAGTTCCACTTGAACTTTTTTCACAGGAACAAATTTTGGCTCACATTATACACCATTGTGCAGAAAAATCAATTTAGATTTACGACATAACAAGTTTTAGTGGGGTTGACAACCGAGAAATCGGCATATAACGGAATTTCGCGACCAGCTGACATTTTTCAAAAATGCGAGTTAAGTACCTTGTGTTATATATGGGTATATAGGGGGAAAAATCTGAGACAAGTGCCTGTGTATAGACACTATTGACAAAGCACATAAGCAAAAATAAAAGACAATAGCATAATAACACAATGGCGGGATGTATAAGTACCGAGCCACGCCAAAAGGAGTATTACCAAAAATGGACTAAATAGTAAAGGTTAAAAATATACAAAGACAAATAAAAAGAACACTATAACACGTAATTAAGATTATAAACAACGTCAGTACCTAGAATCTATACTTCAAGAATATCATGTATTATTTGTGAAGTTGATAATGAATATTTATCAACAAGGTCTTGGTAACTTCCGATGAACTTTTTGTAAAAAAGGGACGAGACGTTCTTTGACATAATCCTGGTTCATCAACTTTCTGCTCAGACACTGATGACGTTTTATAAAGTCTGAGTAGCAGCTGCAAACTGATATATATCTGAAAAGACCGCCTCGGTGGTTTCGTGGTAGCGTGTTCACCTCGAGTGCGGGAGGTCGTGGGTTCGAACCCCGACGGGGTCAAACCAAAGACTTTAAAATTGGTATTTGCTGCTTCTCCGCTAAAAAAAGTAAGATAACAAAAATACCGAACTCCAAGGGATATTCAAAACGGAAAGTCCTTTATAAAATGGCAAAACTAAAAGCTCAAACACATCAAACAAATGGAAAACAACTGTCATATTCTTGACTTGGTGGGGCCTCGGTGGCCGAGTGGTCTAAGTAGTTACTACTGATCATAATCACTAGCCAGTCAACACTGAGGTTGTGAGTTCGAACCCCGCTCGTGCGGGTGCACTCGACTTCAATCTTAATTGACTAGGATTGTCAGTTTACCTATCGAAGGTCGGTGGTTTTCTACGGGCACTCCGGCTTCCTCCACCAATAAAAACTGGCCGCCACGAAATAGCCCAAAAGCGGTGCTTAAAAGTGGCGTTAAAACACAAAAAAACAAAAATCAAATCTTGACTTGGTACAGGCATTTCCTAATGTAGGAAATGGTGGATTAAATCTGGTTTTATAGCTAGCTAAACCTCTCACTTGTATGACAGTCACATAGAATTCCATTATATTGACAACACTGTGTGAGCAAAACAAACAGACATAATAGGTAAAAATGTCAAAAATTGGGGTACTGCAGTCACCATTGTAATATAATCTTTATCACTATACAAATAAATAACTATTTCAACAAAGAAAAACAAAATGGCATATACGGGGCCTTTTAAAGCTGACTATGCGGTATGGGTTTTACTCATTGAATAATGCCGTAGGGTGACCTATATTTGTTAATTTCTGTGTCATTTAGTCTCTTGTGGAGAGTTGTCTCATTGGCAATCATACCACATCTTCTTAGTTTTATATATAGACACTCTGTAGACAAAGTACATAAGCAAAAATGAAAGACAAGAATACATAATTGACCATAGCACAATAACACAATGTCGGGATGTACAAGTACCAAGCCATGCCAAAAGGATATTACCAAAAACGGACTAAACAGTAAAGTAAAAATGTACAAGGAAAAATAAAAAGAATACTATAACACGTAATTATAAACAACGTCAGAACCTAGAATCTATATACTTCGAAACCATCATGTACTATTTGTGAAGTTGATACGGAATATTTATCAACAAGGTCTTGGTATCTTCCAATGAAATTTTTTAGAAAAAGGACGAGACGTTCTATGAAAAAACCTTGGCTAATCAAATTTCTGTTCAGACACTGGTGACGTTTTATAAAGTCTGAGTAGCAGCTGCATTCTCTTGAATACCGAATGAGTTGGGAAATGCATATCCCATATGCAGGTGAACTATGCACGCGGCATTACGGAGTAAGAACAAATACTGGTTGGCTCGGAGTCAGAATAATGTGTCCAGGTAAGGTGACATGTCTTCCTGCGGAGAGTTACCTTGTGAAATTGCACGTTAAAATCCGGCTCAGCGTATCGGTCTAGTACAAAGCAGGGTTACTATTCATATTGCATTAACAAGCTCCCGTCCTGAATATGCATATTAATTTGCCGCTAGACGTTAAGCAACCATCCATCATCATATTATATCTGAAAAAAATCACTGCAAGTAAGTATTGAACAACACCGCATCTGCACAAAATATAAGTAACTAACTCGCTCAAAAGCAAGCAACCAATACAACAATAAAACAAGTTGCTTTCTTTAAAAAAAGAAAAGCAATACGTGAACATAAGACCGCTGACTGGTCATCAAAAGATTGTTGCTGAATTTTTGTTTGCTTTTGAATTGAAATAATTGACTGTGAATAGAAGGAGATAATGATGAAGTTAAACTACCTTTATTAAAAATATGTAATAGTGTGTACATTCTTGCACAAGTCAGTTGAAAGCAATGCTGGATAGGTGTGAATAGAAAAGTGTATATACAGCTACTATTTGAATATACATTTTAAAGCTCGTCTTTTTCATTTATTACTTGGGATTGTACATCATTTTTTTATTATCCTATTGCAAATCCCAATTTCTACAAACCGGATGTATATTGCAAATTGCACAAGCCAATCGCAATATAAATTTAAGCGCCCAGTTTGCTTTATAATCTGGATGCATTTATTTTATCTATCACATCTTTATATTTTGTTTCCTGCATGTATGCCTACATATTCTCAACTCGTTATTGAAGTTGTCTGTACTCATGGTAGATGTTTTACAGATAAATTTAAAGTCCATTTTTCATGTGAAGTGAAACCCTGTGGCATGCAACTTATAAGAAGGTTTCGTATATTTTTCTTGAGAGTAACACACCAGCTTCATTTGGACCTCTTATATAGAGACTTATTTTGGTCTCATAAAACATCTCAAATTTTAAGGATTTCCTTATTTTACTTCAATCAATCCAAATATTTTGATTTTGAAGAATATCTTATTTTCAGAAGTTTTATGAATACCTGAACATACTCTCAAAAGAACCAATTTATATAAAAAGACATGCAGATATAAAAAAAAAATACCAGGATTTAACATGTTGTACGCCAGATGCGGAGTTAAGTCTACAAAGAATCATCAGTGTTGCTCGAATAAAAATAGTTAAACAGGCAAAATAAAGTACGAAGTTGAGTAATCTATTCCTTGGGTAGAAAATCCTTGGCATTTCGAAAATGTTAAAGTTTATAAAAGGACAGTGACTCAAAAAAGAAAACAAAAGAGAAACAGCTAGATGTCAGAATACCGTAAGCAATGATGACCGTGTTTGAAAGTCACATAGCAAGCTCTTATTGCCGTGTCCTGAATTTAGATAAGAAAAGCAAAAATTCGCATTCGCGAGTGAAATTAATATTTATGCATGAACGTGGTATTTTTGCGCAAGAAATAGTAAATAGAAAGCATACTCATATATTAATCTAATAGTTGAATTCGGATGTCAAACTACCTATTTCAAGTGTTTTTACTCCGGATTCATTGACATTTTATCCAGAATTTTTGTGACGGCAAACCGATAGTGTGCGTGTGAACAGGGTGATGTATAATGTGAATGAATCAAGATGTGTAGGATAGCTGACCAACACAATGCATACAATTTTAAAAACCGTACCATAGTACAGATATTTATGTGATATAAGGTTGAACAAATAAAAGAAAAAAAAGGAAAAAAAATAATTAACATTATGATAGTAATTAAATTTTGTTATGATTATTGTAAAATATTAATTACGTTTTATGTGAGATGCAAGGATTTAAAATCCTTGTGAATTGAAACCACGCAAGTATTTTTTCATTCACGACCGTTTAAAATTTAGATATTTAGCTAACTTTGGATACGCATCCCTGCTCATTGGTGCTCATACGTTACATATAATTTTCATAAATGTAATGACTGATCAAACCTGTGAGACATAATGCACGTATATACATTACAATTTTAATTATCATTCTATAATTATTAGGAATAAATTCAGTCTCAGTTTTACCTTAACAATGAATATTCTCTTAGTCTGGTAGTATCTATTAATGAAATTAGATATTTTTTTACATAAAAATCCTTTTGTTTGATTATCTTTCTGCTTTCCGACCACTGTGTTTCCGACCTTAGATCACCTTAGATAAATATTTTTAACAGAAATATCGTTTTCTTAATTTTCTTCATTCTTTCCGACATTTTCTCATGCTATGATTGAAATACTAAATATCAAATGAAAACGTTCAGAAATAATCAGTTTATTCTGGGTCATTGTATATCAATAAACTATTCCCAGGTTTATTAAATACAACACACACACAACGGGTAGAGGGACCGTCTCAAAGCATGAATTATATAATTGCGTTATCATTATACTTGATATTTAATAAACATTCACATTATTAAAACATATATGTTTTGTCAAAAGGCAAATAGGTTCTAACATATAAATGATTTTTAGAATGCAACCTAGTCTTTATTATTTTACTTTCAAATCTACAAATGTACCGTTTGTCGGATTGTTGAAATATACAATGTCACGTTGTAGCCTATCCATAGAGGGACCGTATCAAAGACATAAATAACTACCTATATAAATGATGGAAAATATTCGAGAATCGAGTCAGAGTGGCCCATAGACACTTCCAAAACTCGCCAATATATAATCGTGAACCCAATTAGGGGGGTCACGCAAAAACATAAACCACGACTATGTATGGCCTTCTCGTTTCAGTTACAAAATTGGGATAATACTGATATTCATTTTCGCCATCTCAGAACACCGTCTCAGATACCTATCATTAGGTCATTAACAGATAAACCATATAATACGCAGCTTCTTTAGTACAGGCAATCTTGATGTATATCGGTTAAAATGCATATATTATAAACAATACATTCGTAAAGATCTATATAAACTATACATTTGTTGAGATGCATATAAACTATAGATTCGTAAAGATGTATATAAACTATACATTTGTTGAGATGCAAACGGACTGTGCATCTGTTAAGATGTATATAATATGAACTCTACATTTGTAAAGATATATAAATTGACTGTGTATATACATCTTTACAGATATACAGTTTTAAAGATGTAAAGCTTATATGCATCTCAACGGGTGTACATTTCATATAAATGTGTACTAAAGTAACTGTGTAAAAGGTTCCAACATGACAAAATGTGAAACAACTCAAAAGAGAATTTCCAACCAACAGCCTGATTTATGATAACCCCCCCCCCCCCCCAAAAAAAAAAAAAAAAAAAAAAACCAAATAAGGCAGACAGCAACCAACGACAGCCACTGAATTACACTGAATGTCACAGTGAAGTAAAAAAAAAAACTGCCGACCCTTCCGGAATATATGAGTTCGCCACAGATTTTAGGTGAAGCTCACTTGAGTAATTTGACTAGTGCTTTTTGTGGACTGATGGTTGTCTGTTCACCATTTTGTTTGGCCGTCTTTCTTCGACTCGTGGTTTTTGATTGACGGTTCTCTTGATAATTTCATTCTTTTTGTACTATAAAATATTTTCAATCTTTTGTACAGCAAAAGTTGTTTTATCAAACCTTTGAACAGTATACTTTTGTTTAACCAGTTTTTCCGGAAATATGAAGGTAGAACTTTTAAGAAAATTGAGATTTTTGACATGTCGTAAATCTTTAGTGCAACCAATTAACATTACAAAGTCTAAGTTCCTTTTTAAAACAGTCAATGGAGGACAAGGGACTCTTGATTAACTGATAGTTAAAAAAGTTAAAAATTGAGCTTTTGACATGTCGCACATCGTTAGTGCAACTAAATCAACATTACAAAGTCTAGGTTCCTGTTTAAAACAGTCAATGGAACTGAGGACAACGGACTCTTGAATAACTGATTGTTACAAGATTTGTTGACTATATGTTGTAATTTGTATTTTGTTTTGTCACTATCTTATATGCTTTACGACAATTGATATATATATGTCTTTGTCGCAAACATGTTTAATTTGTTTAATATATGACAAAACAGATTATTATTATTAAATGATCTTTCTTAAAATCATAGCATAGTAACATTGAGGTATCAAAATAGGCTAGATAAACCACATTACATCTAAATTTGATAAAGTTGTCCGAAGTAAAATCAATAGACATGATAGACGGCTGTTTACATTACAGCACACTAACTCACACAATTTTTACCTGGACGGATACAGCTACACCCGTAGACATCTGTAAAACAAAGGTAGGTTTCATCTCTAAAATAAAGGTAGGTTTCTGTTGCATCAAACTTATAATTCATAATGTATGTGTATTTGTGTATGAAAACCAAGTTCTACATTTCACAAATGTTGTAAATGCGGGCGACAAAATCATTGTCTGTCCTTAACGCGTATCAGGAAATACATTACAAGAAAACAGCATCGATTTATCTATCCCTCTTCTAGTGGCTTCGTCATACACACGGTTGCCGAGGAACCGTAATAGCAACTTAATTATAATTTTCAAACAAACAGTAAGCATTGTTAAATTATATTAGACATTTTATTGTGATATATACATGGCAGTACACAGAATAATAAATATGATAATTTTCTTTTATAATTATACGTGTTAAGACAATGTATTATGATAATGAAAACAGAACATCGTTCAATTTTTATCAGTTCTAATTTTGGGTAATTGAATATATAAATGGGATTGGAGAGATCGCTTCAAATTTATATGACCCAAGATATATATTTTTACAACGTTTATTTTCATTATCTCTAATATATGGTCTCTATATATTCTCCAACTAACTCGAACGTTTATCATGCATATTCATGATCAAACACAAAGTCAATACACACACTTTGAACAGTGAATAAAGCAGTACGTTTTATCTGTAGATTTTCTTTTCTTCAGTCACGTACGAGGAACTTTGTATATTTTTTTCTAGTGTAATTTTGTTGTACTTCAAGGTAAGTGACGTCTACATCTGTGCTGCATGATTGGGAATGATCAGGGAAAGAAACTCAAACTAAACGGGGTTCGTGGGAGATAACGGGGACTCCGTTTCAACTAAAATAAACAAAAATCTGGATTTCGATAAATGATCATAAATTGGTTGATGGTAGAAATTTAGTATGGTGGGGTTAAAGGAAGACAGTCTAATGGGAAGTAGGAAATTCACTGTAAACAATGCATTTGTGTTTCGCAGCCCTTGTACTGGTTGTATAGTACTTGACAACTACATACCTTTATTGATTTGCATCGTCCTTCTAAGAGATGTTGAACTATCGTACTTGTTAAATATACATTCAACTATATAATATCGTATTGGAAATGGTGTACCAAACTTTGAAACCCCAAGGATTGACTGCGGTATAGACATATGATCATCCCTAGGTCTTCTTCCGACTAGAAGCTAAATTTGCCAAAGTGGTGTGTCCGTTTGGCTGTGCGGGATGTATAATTTTGCAGCCACGTCCGGTAAGGATGGCCCGGGACGTAAAATTCAATGCCTCGCGTAGAGAGAGTGTCACATGCTCTCTACACGTTAAGAAACCTTGCAACGTCTCTTTGAGGGGTCCAAATGTAGATGGCCTGATGCAAGGCTAAAAATCTATCCCTTTCAATTTGCCTTCATTTTCTAGTGGCATTCCAAATTTTTAGTCCACCATCCCGGTCGATCCCTTATTGCGGTACCTATCTTTTGCATTTATTGTTTATTTGTTCTCGTCCTGATATGCATGATTTTTTTTTGACACTTGACGGAAAGTAAGCAACGATCATTCAAATAAACTTTTTGAATTACATTTACGCTGGGACTATTATACTAAGTTTTAGTATAGTAGTCCCAGGTTTACGCTGTTCATTTGGCAATTTAGACTCTGATCAGGTTCTCAAATAGAGTTTTTGTTCATAAAAATCTGTTGATAAACTTTATGTACTGTTTTCATGACTTCATATCTCTTTTTCTCATGACGCAGACTTCCTTTCTATTGCCTCTATCCTTATCTGTCACATTGATGTTCAGCATTCTGATTTTCTTTGCATTTCAATCGTTTTTGCACTACTCCAGTATTCCTTTCAAGCTGTCTTCCAATGGTTTCTTCTGAAACTGACTATTGACCATGTACCATTCGATATACTAAGTACAGTAAAACATATTAAACAAGTCTCTGTTACTTTTCTTAGATAAAAGCTTAAACTATAATACATCTATATTTATATAGTATTAATCCTTAATATTTTTATCAACCCTTAAGTGCGTTAGCATGCACGGAAACCGAAAATGTTGGATTTGATTTTTCTACACTTAAACAAAAAGATGATGACGGGGTCTCGGGGCTTTTTGGCGCTTGTGTAAAAATGATGTGCACTTAACTATATTTAAATATTTTTGACAGATTAAATATATGAAAATGATTACCTGGCTGAATAAAAAGATAGACCATCTTCTACAACCGGAACTTCTCCGACCAGAAAATCTAGGACAGTTGCCGCCTGGTGAATATGTGCCAATTCCATCAGATATTGTTCTCCCGTCAATAATTACAGCATTTGCGTTTGTTTTAATACGTCACATATTTGATAGGTAATGTAATGCAGTACTTATAAATTATGATGTCAATTTTAAAACTAGATATAATCTAACAATTGAATGCTAACAATAAAAGATATTTTGGGATGCCATTATGATATTAAGCGAGCAACCAGTGAAAACCTTCCACATAAATATGTTTCGGTCAATATGTATGTTCACAACTTACTAGGTATGAAAACGTCACCATTTTCAAGGAACTTCTTGTTTGGTTGCCATTCTGATAAAATATATATTCCTTAGTTAAATCAAACGACCACACTTTGAAATGTAACACTGCATATTTTACTTAAGGGTTTAAAAAACACGCATTCCTTTTGCATAGACTTGTTGTATATCCAATTGGAACCTATTTTGGACTTAAAGAGAGCACTCCTAGGAAGACCACTTTTGACCATCCAGTTTTGGAACATGAATACAAGAACAGTAAAAGTCCAAGTTCTGATGTTATAATGGTAAGTGACGTAGACCATTAGATAACTTGGCTTTTTATATCAATAAATAAAACACCATGGACATTTATAATACATTTTGATTACTATTAATTACTTTTATTATAGTGTTAATTCTTCTTTTGTCCCTATCCAGCAATTTTTGTATATAATATCTTATTTCAATTTCACTTCACAGAGACATATATACACATGTGTATATATGTCTCTGCACTTCATTGAGAATTCGGTTTTCAGCTCCAGAATCGTAAAATTTATCTTCGAAGTGGTTTCTTATTGCATAAATCTGGTATATATGAGTCTGCTACGTTCAAAACTAGTATTATCGACCGTACGAGACCCTATGAGTAGTCAAGGTCGTTAAACACTCCCCTAGTAGTAATACTAGAATGATGGCTATTGATTCAGTGATAAATTTGCTAAGGGATAGATAGAGTAGTAATACTAGTATGATGGCTATTGATGCAATGATAGATTTGCTAAGGGATGGATAGACCCATAATATGACGTTCAACCTTTTCCATAACTCAATGACAATTGTACGATTTGTTTTACAAATTTTCAGGTTTTATCCAAGAAAACCGGTATATCGGAAAGAACCATACAGTTTTGGTTCAAAAAAAGGAAAAAGCAGGACAAAGTTTCTGGAATCAAACGATTAAGTGACAGCAGGTCTGTTGTAAACACCTTATAGTTTACTTTATGCATTTGTGACAGTATATTGAAATATTCTTGATCAGAAACCATGCATGTACACGGAAAACAAAACAGAGATAAACAAAGGCTGACGTTTAACTTTTCAAACATTGCAGACTTGTAAACATTCCCTGGTGAATTATCGGTGTCTAATTCAGCATTCTTTTGGCAAATGGTAAAACATACTACTGACTATAACTCAACATTAGTTGTGCTATTTTTTTTTAATCAATTAAATATATACATACCATATCGTTAGTCTCGTTGTAACATGGTTGCCTTGTGTGTTGGAAGTCGTTGGTTCTATCCCCAGTTGGGTCAAACCTTAGACTTTGGTATTTGCTGCATCTTATGTCAAATTTATAGTAGTAAGAGCAAAGACTGGTCGGCTAGGAGTCTGAATAAAATGGCTGAGTACGTTGAAAATGTCTTCTGATGAACTTTTTGTTACCTTGTGAGCTAGCACGTAAAAATTAACTCAGTGCGTGGATTTAGTAAGCTGAGGATATTCATATCTCATTAATAATTATCGTCCTGAATATTGAGTAGCGATTAACTGAGTTACTCGAATGATTCAGCGCCCTGTATCGGTCAGTGTCCTCTCGAGTTAATGTAGCGATCGATAGTGAGTCGGAATATCGGATTGTAGCGATCAATAAATCAACTTACCAATTATTATCAAATAGAGTTGATTCAATGAATTTTCCATGAGTAACTGATCTTTGAATGAGACTTAAAAGGTACACATCTTAAAATCAACTAGTTTATGCAACTGCCAAATTTGGCATGTACTAAAACTGTTAATACATTCCTACTTTTTCAGTTGGTCCTTTGCATTTTACTTTGTGTTATCTTGGTATGGAATCTATGTTTTATCCAATGTAAGTATACAGTAATAATGTTCAATAATAATAATTCACAAAATTTGCGTTATTAGTATTGGTTAATTATACCGAGAAAATGTTATAGCAAAAGTAAAAGTTCATTTGTGTGATGTCGTTACTTTTTTTAAATTGACAATGTATGTAATCACATTATTTTATTTTTTTATATATATACTAAAATATATAATATCTTTTTTCGTTAAATTATCAAGAATTCTCGAAATATACTGCCGAAATTTATCCAAAGGAACTTACTTTAAACAAATGAAATATTAACAGCAATAAATGTTCATTTCTAGATTTATATATTTCAGTTTTACACGAAAAAAAAACTCTACACAAAAATTACGACAAAAGGGACGATTTTTATTTCCCTATTGTTAATTTTCCTTTTTTGGACAGCGATGTTCCATTGGCACCGTCTTACGGTGTATCACAAATCGTTCGCTATGCCCGTGTCTGTAGTGACGTTTTGGATTTCAATGAGCGTAATCTATGTATTACCAGAGACTTATATACACATATATATATATATGTGTATGTATGTCTCTGGTATTACTGGTAAATTATTAAGTCATATCGTTACCACAAATTACTAAAAACCTTTACTATATTCTTTCATAGATATAAAGATTTGGTTTGCAAGTTTGGCTGTTCCTGTAAAAACCTTATTTCAAACGGGATAGCACATCCTAATTCTTACGGGGATGTTGTTTACCGAGCCCGGAAATCCGGATAAATTTATCAATCCTTTAAAATATCTTATTCTAAAAGGTTACCACTTTAACATTGTAATTAGATCTTTGAATATTGATTGTATTGGTATAAATATTGATTTTGTTATCAGTAAATTAAAACCATACTAAGTATTATTGTTATACACATAGCGGCACATTCGAGGTACTACAATCTGTCGATACCTACATTTTGACATTGCACAAGGTCATGTTTTTCTGACTGTAAATGACGTCTTTACACTAAATCCATTGGATGTTGGAAGTGTACTGATTGGTATTTTAGTCTTAGATACATGAGTTTATTATTAGTTGTTATTGGCTTTGAACTATCTGGCAGTAATTGCGGGCACTCTCAGATCTTCACTTAGTGTCTTTTTTGTTGTGGGATGTAAAGATACGCTGCCACGTCCGGTCTGTGTTTTCGTTAGATGTTTTATGCTTTGTATCGATCTGATGAGTGAAGCCCTTCAAGTGATTTTTAACCGGATTTCCAAAGGAAAATATTAATTTGGTTATGTACGGCAGTCGGGCGGTCGGGCGGGCGACTGCCAAACAATGTCCGAGTAAAACTTTAAAACGCTTTAATGAAATCTATTCAAATTTAGACATGTTGTTTGCTGTGACTAAATGAAGGTCAGGTTCGATTTTTCACTAGTTTAGCTTTTATCATTGATGAGTTGTAGACCTTTAAGTAGCGAAAATTGATACTTAAATTGATTCTTGGTGTTTCCATTTCTGAACCCTACAAAAAATCATTTATTTTTTTACTTGATCCTGTTTGGGGGTCCAGAATTGCATATATCGTTACATCACTGTCCCAGATTAGGGGAAGAGTTTGGCGCCAGCAAACTAGTTCTATATGTGCCTGTCCCAAGTCAGGAGCCTGTAGTTCAGTCACAGGGGTTTGTTACAATTTGCCGGGTTTACTATCCATACGAACCCGTGTTTTTTCGGGGTTCTTATGAATAGTAAACCCGGCAAATCATTGTAACAAACCCCTGTGGTTCAGTGGTTGTCGTTGGTTTGGGTCTGTCATATTTGAATTTCGCAAATTCAACGGTTATGTTATGAATTAGGCTGTTAGTTTTCTCAATTGAATTGTTTCATATTTTTCATGTCGGGGCATTTTATAGCCGACTATACAGTATGGGGGTTTCTTTTTGTTGAAGGCCGTACTGTCATGTGCCTATAATTGCTTACATCCACTTCATTTGAACTTTGGTGGATAGTTGCAATTGTCTCATTGGCAATCATACCACATCTCCTTTTTTTTTTATAAGACAATTAATATACCAACAAAATGAACATCAAAAACTAACAAAGATGGGAAAGCAATAATCAGTGTAAAAATTCACCTCCCCCGAAAGAAAATCACGAACATTTAGTAATGTTTGTCAAGTGTCAAAGAGAGGCGAGAGATACCAAAGGGACATTCAAACTCATTAGCCGAAAACAAACTGACAATGCCATGGCAAAAAAATGAAAAATGATCAAAAGGCAAACAACAGTATACAAAACACAACATAGAAAACCAAAGACTGAGCAACACGAACCCCACCAAAAACCGGGGTGTAACAAGCGTTCTAAAAGTATCCATTGATACCGTTTCACCGAAACATCATATCACGTGAAGAGAAATTTCTATCTGTGTCTTATATAGTTACACTTATTAATCAAAACGTATAATGATTATCATTCGCAAATTTGAGATTGCTTTTAAGGGGTGTTCAAAGCCATAATTAAAGTAAGAATGAAATTATAACATACCAACCAGAAGTGATCAGCATTTTGTTTTATCATATTGTAGAAACAATGGAGCACAAAAACAGAAGACTGCTGGAAAGGTTGGCCATTGTTGGTAAGACTTACTGTTGAAAATTATATGTAAGGCTTACTATGATACGGTAAGCAGGAAGAAAAAATGACCTTTTATGAAGTACTAGTACATTGTTTGTATCTTTTGTTTTGTTTTGTATTATTGTTAAGCTTTTTTTTGTGAATTTTTATTTTTTTACTTCTCGGCTGACTTGAACATTGACACCATGAAAACATTGATTTATAAAGAGGATAGATATCTTCCAAAAGGATCAAGAGTCACTGACACACACTGTTAAAAAGAAATCTGAACACATTGTTTATTTATGTAAATGTGTTAAATGCTGAGGGCACATCATCTTACAAAAATATTATTTTCGACCCAATTAAACATACATTCAGGATCACAAACTCCCACAACAGTATTTGGATAATTTCACATTTGAACGGATAAATTTAAATTCAATTTAAAATGTTGCTCAATATAAAAATAAGGAGATGTGGTATAATTGCCAATATGACAATTATGTATAATTTATTCAATAGAGTTGTGAACACCTATAGGTCCCCGTACTGCCTTAAAAAATTAGCAAAACTCAGACTCATAGTAAGCTATAAAAAGTCCTGACATGATGAAATGTGATTTTTGTAACAAACAAACGAAAAACAATTAAGTCAAACAGCAATCAGCAACTACCACTGAATTAGAGGCTCCTGACTTGGGACAGGCACATATAGAATATGGAGCAGTTGAACATGTTTGTGAATGCTCAACCATCCCCCTAAATTGAGACATTGGCATAACAACACACAACATAAAAAAAAAAAATAATATGTAAAGGGTTTGTTTTATCAGATCGGCACGAAAAATAAAAACTTACATAAAGACAAATTCACAGAATCTAAAAGTGCTCACAATTACTGAAAGATAGTTCAAAGCCAATTACTTCTTTCATTTTTCTTTTCAATTTTGAATACATATATTTTTGTTTCAGACAGTGTCTAACGATATGTATTACTACTACCTCTTAGAATTAGGATATTACATTTCATATATTTATATGCTGTTCACTGACCATAAAAGAAAAGTAAGTGGCTTCAATTATAAATATTTCTTTTTAATTCAAGGTTGAATGATAAAGTTATTTTTGTGTTAAACAATTAGTTCCCTACCAGAGGCAGAATAGGACTAATATATCATTCCAAATGTTTATCAGTACATCAGTCTGTTTGACCTATAAATTGTTTGCACTTATTTTTATACGACCGCAAAAAAATTTCGCAGTCATATATTGGTATCACGTCGTCGTCCGAAGACACTTGGTTTCCAGACAATAACTTTAGTATTAATAGAAATCTATGAAATTAAAACACAAGGTTTATAACCACAAAAGAAAGGTTGGGATTGATTTTGGGGGTTATGGTCCTAACAGTTTAGGAATAAGGGGCCAAAAAAGGGGCCCAAATAAGCATTATTCTAGTTTTCCGACTATAACTTGTGGAAGGGTGTATGGATCTCTCTGAAATTGTACAACAAGTTTCCATACCTCAAAGGGATGGTTAGAATTGGCTTGGGGGGTAATGGCTCAAACCGTTTAGGAATTAGGGGCAAAAAAGGGGGAAAAAACAAGGGTTTCCTTGTTAATGGACAATCACTTTTAAGTTCAATGTTAAATTTGGATTACCTCCCTTACACTGCTTTAAAATTATATATAGAAATCTTTTATTGTCTTGAGGTGATTAGCTGTCAATTTATTTTTAGAAGTTACTAATAAAAATGCTGATTAAAGATATATTATTTTTAGACATGATTATGTATGTCATTTTCTATTTTAAGACTTTTATGATGTATTTAAATGGGTAATTATGGTTGCAAACTCCATTGGAAATTTGAATTGAGATAATGACCATATCTTGAGGGAAAGATTTTTTTTTTTTTGGTAAAAGGGGAGGGGGAGGTGAAAAAAAATTTGGGGGGGGGACAATTTTTTTTTCTTATTACAGGTTTCGGAAATTAAAAAGAAAATTTCTTCAAATATTATTTATTTTGTAAAAAAAAAAAAAGGGGGCGGGGTGAAAAAAAAAAATTTGCCAAAAAAAAAGGGGGGGGGGGGGGGGGGGGGGGGGGTGTTAATTCGCAACAGCATAATGTATTGCACAAAATAAAAAAAAAAGGGGGGTAATTTTTTTTTTGGGGGGGGGGGGGGGGGGGTGCAATTTGCACCAGCATAGTGTATTGCACAATGGCAAAAAATTGAATATAAATTCAAATCATATAACCAATTCTAAGTTCTTTGACTACAGTTATTCTGTGTCAGAAACCTATTATGTGTCAAACATTTAATTTCAATCCAAATTCAGACCTGTATCAAGCATGAATATTGTGTACATTTTTGCCCCAACTGTTCAGGGTTGGACCTCTGCGGTCGTATCCAGCTGTGCTTGGCGAAGCAATTTATTGTAATGCTTCAATCGATTGATTAGATAGTTGGCATATAGTTTTATCATAAGAAGTTAAAGATTGAGATTGAGTATAGTTTTTTACAGAGGTAAGACATAGAAAATTGCTTAACCATATCCGCTTTCCACACTTCTCTGTAATAACTGAATCACTGATTAGATATTTGGCATACAGTCATTATATTATAGGAAGTTACATATTGAGTATGAGATTTGTCCCGGTTGAGCAATGTTGACATTGTGGACATGGACCATATAAAATAGCTTGAAACTATCAGTTTTCACACTTCGTTTTATAATGCCTTACCCAGGAGATATTTGATATACAGTCATTATAAGAATTTACAATTTATTATGGTTGGGCGGTTTTTGCAGGATTTGTCAATGGCGTAGCTAGACAAATGTTAAAGGTGAAGCCCAAATTGGCAGGGGGTCTGGGGGCCCCTCAAGGCCCCCCTTGGGTCCAGGGCAAAACCCTGGTAGGGGGCCAGGGCTGAAGCTCCTGGATTTTAGGGTTTTAAACCCACAAATATTAAATGAAAATATTGAATGTTAAGGTGTAGATAAAAGCATTTTTGTTTGATACAAGTCAGATAATTTTGTGAAAAGATATATATTGTTCCTCGAAGAAAAAGGAAAAACCAGGAGATTCGAGAGGGGTAAATAAGTTATATTTACTTAGACCAGTATAATAAGAAAAATTTAGGGTCCCGCGGAACCCAGCGTCTTTCCTACTTTAAGAATCTAATAAATTTTTTAAGAACTTTAACTGTAGACTGTATGTAATGTTAACTGCAAGAAAAACTAATTCCATATATAATTAATATACGGAAAAACAGGAAATATATTTTTACAAAATTTCCGTCTAGATACTAGCTTTTGATCCGGCATAATCAAGCTTCTGTCCAAGTTTGATAAAGATCCATGATAGTTTAAGAAAGTTATTAAAATTTTAAAAACTTAAAACACAGAGTGAATGTACTGTTAACAGGCAGAAACGGAATGTAGGATCACTATGTCTCGCTTTTGTGACAAAAGTCGCAGGCTCGACAAAAACCACACCATTATATATTGCTTGGAGATAAAATGTAAAAAATATATTAAGTTTAATATAGTGGGTACCCAGATTAGGGCAGGATGGCGCCTTCAAATTAGTTTTAGCCCAGCCACATTAGGTATATGCCTGTTCCAAGTCAGGAGCATGTAATTCAGTGTTATGGTTGTCGTTTGTTGCTGTGTATCGTATTTGTTTTTCAATCATTATTTTGTACATAAATCAGGCCGTTAGTTTTCTCGTTTGAATTGTTTTCGGGGCCTTGTATAGCTGACTATGCTGTATGGACTTTTGTCATTGTTGAAGGCCGTACGGTGATCTATAGTTGTTAATTTCTGTGTCATTTGGTCTCTTGTAAAGAGTTGTCTCATTGGCAATCATTACCACATCTTATTTTTTTTTATATTTTGATAGGCAGCGGAATACAACTTACGAGGTCAACTAAATGAAAATAAACAAATGTGATGGCTCATCCTTGCCTTTTGCTGTATTGGGCAAAGTTTAACATCGTTCAAAAGCTGAGCAAAATTTATGATACAACATTATATATGATTCAGAATTTCCTGCCATGTTTGTCAGTGAATGAACTAAAAAAATGTCTTGTTTTATTTCAAAAATACAAACACTGTAGTAGGGTAATTGTTCAAGGAATATTTCACTAAGTAGATACAGCCAGTCGAAACCTCTGTGTGGATATGCATTATTAAAAGAGTCAGACTCAATCTCTCACACCAGTGACTTAAAACAAAAAAGCAAACCTGCTGTCATTGTTGGTTGCAAAACAGTCAGTTACTTTATCAATGGGCGTCTCCTTGTTCGCATGAAGGATTCATAGCCCCGAAAGTTGTTCGGTTGTCATCATAGAACGCAGACATGTTTTACAACACTGAAACTGCGTTGATTCAGCGGTGGTATTGGTCACAGGCATTGCCAATTCTGTGTTGCATTGTAACAAACAGAGCACCCCGCAGACACAATATTCGTCTGCTATGAAAAGAGAGGAAATAAAGCGCTGGTGGTGGGAACGAACACAGGGAGTCTGAGAAGTGATATCGACTTGTTGACTTCTACAATTTTTTTTTATATTTAACCGCACAGTGCCCATTTATCTTCCCCTTTACTCTCTCTCACTCGGAGTCTTCTCCTCTCTCTCATACCTCTAGCTCATTTTTATTTTAATTTTCAATTTTTTAATTTATTTTTTTTTTTGACAAAACGATGTTGAAGCCTTGGCTTCCGAGCTTCCGCCTAGCTACACCACTGTTTGTGGTCCTTGGACATAGACTTTTAAATTGCTTTAAGATGTAAAATTGCCTTAAGATATAAACTTTCAACGTTTTTTACAATCAATACGGCATGCATTGATAGTATAAACAATCGATCAATCCACATTGATAATAAAAAAAATAAATGTGGAATGTGTCCATGGAACACAGATGATGCCCCCGCTTGCATATCATATAAAATTATAAACGGACATAACTGAAACAATAAAAGTGACCCTACCCAAATTTGAACTTGATCTGAGTTTTGTGGTAATAAGTATTGTGTATAAGTTTCATAAAATTTGGTTGAGGCAAACTTAAGTTAGAGAACAGAAACGAAAAATTCTGCAATTTTTCCATTTGTAAAGGGGCATAACTCTAGAACGGTTAAAGTGACACCACCATAATTCAAACTTGATCTGTATTTTGTGTTAATAAGCATTGTGTATAAGTTTCATAGCATTTGGTTGAAGCAAACTAAAGTTAGAGAACGGAAACGAAAAATTCATCAATTTTTCCATTTGTAAAGGGGCATAACTCTAGAACGACATCACCATAATTCAAACTTGATCTGTATTTTATGATAATAAGCATTGTGTATAAGTTTCATAGCATTTGGATGAGGCGAACTAAAGTTTGAGAAAAAGAAAACGAAAAATTCAGCAATTTTTCCCTTTGTAAAGGGGTATAACTCTAGAACGGTTAAAGTGACGCCACAAAATTCAAACTTGATCTGTGTTTTGGGGTTATAAGCATTGTGTATAAGTTTCATAACATTTGGTTGAGGCAAACTTAAGTTAGAGAACGGAAACTTACTTTTGGACGTACGTACGGACGTACTGACGGACGTACGTACAGATGGACAAGGGTAAAACTTAATGCCCCCTCGGCTAAAAACGTTGAAAACAAACGATATGGACCTACAAAGACTTATATTATTGAACTACATGGGTCGGGTTGGGCCTGCAGTTGTTGACAATATCTCCATCTTTGAATAAATCTTCTGAGCCAAATAATGATAATATCGAAATTCCAAACTACACCAGTAACAATGTATACTTGTCTCATTATAAATGTAAACTCATCCAACGTTAACATTACAGCCGGTGAGGGACATTGTATTGCATATACAATACCCTCAAAATGGTTGTTTAAAATGCATTTTGAAAAAAAAAGATGATTAGTTTTAGTGAATTTTAAATACAATCTTTATAATTTATATATGTGTATTTCGTAGTTGAACAAGTACTGTTTGTTTAACAAATCTTCTTTGTATTTTAGGATTTCTTAGAATTTTTTATCCATCATAATGTGACAGTTATACTTCTGATTTTATCATGGTCTGTCAATGTTGTACGTATTGGTGCATTGGTTCTATGTATACACGATCCAGTGGATTATCTTCTAACGGTAAGTCATATTCAAACATGCTGGTTTATATTTAAAGATAAGTAGATGAGGTACGTTGCTAATGTCCACGTCACTTGGTGTTTGGTGGATAGTAGTCTCATTGTCAATCATGCCACATCTCCTTAATTTATATGGTTGGCAATGAGAATCTCCTTATCTCATATGGTTGCCAATAAGACAACTATCCATAAAGGATATAGACCAAAGTTCAAAGGTGTAGACAATTGCAGGTCACTGTAAGGCAATGAACAAATCCAATGCCATATAGAAAGCTATTATTCAAGGCCTCAGGGGTGACAAGATGTATAAATTTTGAGGTTATATATATATATAAATAAATGCTGTTTGTGCTGTATTTAGACCCCTCTAACAAGAAATTTGTTTTGCATGCACACATATAAAAATTGCGGTTTTTATCCAACGCAATCATAGGTTTGAACGTTGTTTTCAATTTAGACTTATTTATATTTTTTCGTTTGGGCTTGTATTATATTTGCCTTCTGGTTAATATGATCCGTTCATCCTATTTCGACTCTTCAAAATTCAAGAGTCTATCCTAAATTGAGGTAAATTATATGGCCTTCAAAATATCGTTTCGATTCCTAACATCACTGAAGAGACATTAATTGTCGAAATCCGGATATGGTGTACAAATTTTTGCACCTCATGCTTACGGTATACCATCTTTTCCTCAAGTTTGTTGTTTTCTGTTTGGTATTCAATTAATAATAGAGATCCATTTTGTTACATCTTGTGATCTGTTTATTTGGCAATCGCCAATGGCAGTCAGCAGGGTTTAAGAACATCTGTTGTTCGACCTGTTAGTCAAATGCGTTTTGTTTAAATATACTTTTTCACTTTTTTGGTCGTTTGGAAAAAGGTGTTTGTGCTGTATTGAGACCCCTCTACCAAGAAATTTGTTTTGCATGCACACGTATAAAAATTGCAGTTTTTATCCAACGCAATCATAGGTTTAAACAATGTTTTCAATTTAGACTTATTTATATTTTTTCGTTTGGGCTTGTATTATATTTGGCTTAGGGTTTATATGATCCGTTCATCCTATTTCGACTCTTCAAAATTCAAGAGTCTATCCTAAATTGAGGTAAAATTAAATGGCCTTTCAAATATCGTTTCGATTCCTAACGTCACTGAAGAGACATTAATTGTTGAAATCCGGATATGGTGTACAAATTGTTGCACCTCATGTTTGCAGTATACCATCTTTTCTGCAAGTTTATTGTTTTCTGTTTGGTATTAAATTAATAATGAAGATCCATTTTGTTACATCTTGTGATCCGTTTATTTGGCAATCGCCAATGGCAGTCAGCAGGGTTTAAGAACATCCGTTGTTCGACCTGTTAGTCAAATGCATTTTTGTTTAAATATACTTTTTCACTTTTTTGGTCTTTTGGAAAATGTTGTTTGTGCTGTATTTAGACCCCTCTACCAAGAAATTTGTTTTGCATCCACACGTATAAAAATTGCGGTTTTTATGCAACACAATCATAGGCTTGAATGTTGTTTTCAATTTAGAATTATATATATATTTCATAGGTTTGAACGTTGTTTTCAATTTAGACTTGTTTATATTTTTTCGTTTGGGCTTGTATTATATTTGCCTTCGGGTTTATATGATCCTTTCATCCTATTTTGACTCTTCAAAATTCAAGAGTCTATCCTAACTTGAGGTAAATTGTAAGGCTTTCCAAATACCGTTTCGATTCCTGACATCACTGAAGAGACATTAATTGTCGAAATCTGGATATGGTGTACAAAAACCTTTGCACCTTTTGTTTGCGGTATATCATCTTTTCCGCAAGTTTATTGTTTTCTGTTTAGTATTAAATTTTTAATTAAGATCCATTTATTACATTGGTGATCTGTTTATTTGTTTATTTGGCAATTGCCAATGGCAGTCAGCAGGGTTTAAGAACATCCGTTGTTCGACCTGTTAGTCAAATGCGTTTTGTTTAAATATACTTTTTCACTTTTTTGGTCTTTTGGATGTAGTTTGTGCTGTATTTAGACCCCTCTACCATGAAATTTGTTTTGCATGCACACGTATAAAAATTGTGGTTTTTATCCAACACAAGGTTTGAAAGTTGTTTTCAATTTAGACTTATATATATATTACATATATATATACATGTATAAGCTTTATAACTAAGACTGTGTCCTAACTATACCAAAATAGAGGAACACAATTCTTCTCTTTCATCATCTGTCTATTCTGTGCACCCTTCTGCCCTTATAGTTATATATATATATATCAATATATGCATATCATTTGAGTAAAGACCATATAATGCAAATAAAAACTTCTATTTTAGGACCTATACCGTTCAAACTAAAATGTCATTTTGTTTCAAAACTTTCTGGAAAATAATTAGGATGACTGTATTAGTTTTTTTCTAATAAAAAAAAAGGCAGAAGATATCAAAAGTGATAATTAAACTCATAAATCAATTAAAAAAAAGGACAACACCATGGCAAAAAACAAAACACGAAGAACAGACAGACAGTCTACAAATCACAACATTGGGGATGATCTGAGGTGCTCAGGAAGGGTTAGCAGATCCTGCCCCACATGTGACAACTTAAGTATGGTTTTGGCAAATGGTCCCGATTTGTTGAGAATTAGTGATGTATTCATTACCAGTTAATATGTATTAAAATTTACAGTAATTTTTCTTTTCAGTTTGCCAAATCAGCTGTTTACTGTAAAAAGCACCGTGTAGCAGACATTTGCTTTGTTGTATTTTTGTTTTTGTGGATTTTTACAAGACTTTTCGTTTACCCATATGTGTAAGTTTATAGCATCCTATTGGAAAAGAAAATACAAAAAACTAAACTTTAGTAATTTTGATTGAAATATTAGCAATAACGCACACACTTACACGTAGATCCCTTTGTTAATAACTGAAATTTTTGTTATTATTTAAAAATTCAAAAATTTCAAGACACTGTCAGTATTTCAAAATTTGAAATTCATTTCCCATGTTAAGGGATAAAAACTTCTTACCATGATTAAAGATAGAAACGTCTTGCCCATGATAAAAGATTGAAACTTCTTATCCGCGATCAAAGAAAGAAAATTCTAACTTTTAATAATAGATTGATTGTTAAGGTTAATTTTGACGTCTATATGGTATAATGAAAGTAAAATTTTACAGTATTAAAGCTAAGTCCTATTAGGCATCACGTAAAAGTATCAAACGAACATTATAAAGATCAACTTTTAAACTGCAAATAGATACACAGCATGATGTAATAACATATTAGGCTTACAAGAAATGTATCAAAATTGTTACACTTGCTTGAATTTTAGATCATGGCACGTTTATGAATTGCAGCATTTAAAAACTTTTTTTCAGAGTCCTATATTCGGTTTATGTAGAACTTCCAGCATTAGCAGAGAATAACAGTAATATACAAATATTGGACAGAAGTTTTGTTATACAGTTTCTGAAGGCATTGCTAGTTGTTTTACAAATACTTCATGTTCTGTGGACGATTTTAATTTTTAAGTCTGCGGCAACAAAATTTACACGCGGGGAGGTAAGAGTATTGGTATTACGTTCAAAACATTGTTTTATTACCCCTTTTTACTCTTTTTAAACTTTGAAAATATGTATGTATCAAAATTTAATCAAATGAACAAGTAAGTTCTCGGAATGAATGTTAATATCTCAAAATATAAAATTGTGAATTATGATATTAATATCGTGATTTCTTTAAGTCAAATTAGTATTATCATGTCTTTCCCTTGTCAATCACAAGTACCATATTTAACACTGACAAAAGTCTTGTCTATATTTCATGAAAAATGAAACAGAATTGGCATATATTTCAAATAATGATAGATTGCAACTGTATGTTTGATTATCTATGGTATTATCGAAATCTACTTTTGCTTGCAATTTTCTACTTTTCTGTTTCATTTTTCATTTAAACATATGAACTCTGTGGATAGCACGACTTCACCGTCCAACTTAGAGCATTAAGTTGTGTAGGAAACGTTAAAACATCACAGCTACTGCTAACATAGTTTTGGGTTCCCTCCAAGTTATCCTCGTAAAAATACCTATGAGGATTAACTGCCTTGGGTAATGTATAAGAACATAAACTCTATAACTAAGACTGTGTCCTAGCTATCCCAAAATAGTGGAACACAATTCTTCTCTTTTATCATCTGTCTTTTCTGTGCAACCTTCTGCCCTTATATTCCTGCTCTATGCATTTGTTTTCCGATAATTTTCAATGTGAACAAATAATTTTTACTACTGGAAAAAGCTTTTTACAACCCCAAATTACCATAAATCTAGCACAAATACATCAGTTTGGTTATTTTTTGTTATATATAAAAATGATCAAGTTGTCACTTTTTAAACAAGAAATTGTGCTAATACACCCTCATCATAAAACTGTGCCACTCCGCTATTAAATGCTAGCTGGAACACTGTAAGATATTTTATAAATTTGTGAAAACCAAGTACAACGCAAATTTCTTAAAATTAAAGTTATTACATTTGGAACACAAAACTTACTTTGCCTTACATGCAGACAATAATTGGAAACTATAAAGACACCTTAGGAGCTGAATAAGGAAACTGAAAAACAAAGAGTATAAGTTATGATGTTATTAGTCCCCTACGGATGAAGTCGAAGTGGACTTTAGGTTTGCACTCCGTCTGTCTGTCTGTCTGTCTGGCTGTCTGGCTGTCTGTCTGTCCATCCATCAGTCCGGCAAATCTGTTATCCACATGTTTTTTCTTCATGCTTGAAGATATTGATTTGATATCTGGTATATTGTTTTATCATGACAAGTAACAGATCAGGTTCGAATTTTGTTCCGGTCTGATAATTTTGTGCAGAGTTATGGTCCTTGGACTTAGAAAATTCACTCATATAATCAGTTTTCCGCACTTTTTTTCGTCATGCTTGAAGAAATTGATTTAATAATTGGTACAATGTTTTATCATGACAAGTTACAGATCAAGGTCGAATTTTGTTCCGGTCTGATGATTTTATACAGATTATGGTCTTGGACTTTAAAAATTCACTCAAATAATCAGTTTTCCACACTTTTTTTTCGTCATGCTTGAAGATATTGATTTGATAATTGGTATATAGTTTTATCATGACAAGTTACAGACCAAGTTCAAATTTTCTTTAGGTCTGATGATTTTGTGCAGAGTTATGGTCCTTGGGCTTAGAAAATTCACTCAAATAATCAGTTTTCCACACTTTTTGTCATCATGCTTGAAGATATTGACTTGATATTTATTATATAGTTTACACCATGATAAGTTAAAGATCAAGTTAGCATATTGTTCTAGAACAATTAATTTTTAACCGGTAGGGGACTATGTATTGCCATGCAATACTCTAAGAATGCTTGTTTTTTTTGGTACGTATACACATTTACTAATTTTCACCACAGCTTCAAGATGCTAGAAGTGACACAGAAGATGACGAAAAGGATGATGATGATGATGATGATGTGATTTCTGATGAAAACTTCAAAGAAATGTTCAACAATAATACAGGAACCAATGGTATTGGCCAATAAATTTGCAATATTACCTCAAAAGGCAGCCTTTTTAAAACGTGACTTTATTATACCGTATCTATATATTTTGTGTTTGTAATTTTTGTAAACTGAATATTGTCATCAGATTTATAAAACATATATATAATATATGTTTTATATATAATATGTTTTATATGCTATAAATATGCTGAATAGTAAAGAGTTTGTAAAAATATATACTGTTGCAAGTAGCCAAGGCTCTGTGTTGAAGGCCGTACTTTGACCTATAATGGTTTACTTTTACAAATTGTGACTTGGATGGAGAGTTGTCTCAAAAACAGTCAAGTACTGGTCTATTATGACACCTCTTGTTTGTAAAAAATATGCAAAGGGGATATTCAAAGGTAAACTGACAACACCACGACGAAAACACAAACAAGAACACAAAACAAAACATAAAAAAACTAAGGACTGATCAACATGAACCCCACCGAAAAGTTTGGATAATCTCAGGTGAAGGGTAATACTAATGTTTTATACGAACTCTGAAAGTTTAGGTGTATCCCGATTTGCAGGGATGATTGAACTATAGTTTGTAAGGACTACATGTGACATCATGTCCTAATTGCAGCACTCTTAGTTTTTAACTCTTTTTTAAAATGAACAGCACTCATAAATCCAATTACTAGATACATCTGAATGTTTATACTAAAGAATCTAAAATAAATTTAAATAAATGAAAGGTAAAAAGTTTTACTAAGAAGGGTGATAAATGTAAAACAATTGTCATTGATGGTCTACAATACATAATACTTAATTTTCTGGTATTTGTGGCTTATATTTAAAAAAAACCCCGGTATACACATGATAGGTAATGTTGCAAAAACAGTGTTCTTATTTACATATTTACAATAGTCCAGTAGTATGTATAAAGATACCCTAAAAGTGAGTCTAATTACAGCTTTTAGAATTTCATTTTTTATTCCTATTCTATGAAAATATCTAAATCATAAATATAATCCAACTAACCCTAACTAAGGTTGTTTTGCGACAAGTCAGCATGTTCTACACTTGTGTCCTCTTCCTGGTCGACGCTGGTGATCTTTGAAAATATGTAAACAAGCTTTAGGATGACAATGCATGATAATTTTTTACGTGTTCTTGAATTACAAATAGAAAGAAACAGTTGAGGTGCTTTAACTTTGTTACTTTGCCCATTTGATCTTCTGAAATTGCTTCAGTGAACGTAAAAGTGTTCATTTTTAGAACACCGGTAACATAAAACAAAAATATAAAAATAGCTACTCTGTGAAATAAAGCAGTACAATCTCTTACATTTTTTACAGTTTATACATGTCCTTGCTTTGTGCTAGTGGGTCCTAATAAGGTGCTTGCAATTTTTGACAAGACGTTGATTTTTTTCGAATCAAACGTTGCATGCACAATAAATTGTATTGGCTAAATGATTGTATTTATTCGGATTTTTGACACCTATTTGAACTTTGGACATGCACTATGGTTGTATAATTAACCCATTGTTTTAAATTATCGCAACAACATATACTTACTACATAAGTAATACATGCCTTTAAAATGATTATTTTCATAAATATAGGATGCTTCCTTAAACATATTTTAAAAACATATTGTTTATAAAGTAGATCCTGGTGAAATAAGATGATCATAACTATACCAATTGTTGACAAAGCCTTCTCCATGGGATAGGAAGAATCTTAAGTTTCACCCATGGGTTTCGTCACCCAGAGTTCATCTATGTTTTATACCAAAATTGGCACCTATTATGTAAATGCACTTTGTCGTAGAAAGTTTTCACAGAAAATTAGTAAGAGCCTATTTGTGGACAAGCCTTCACAGTTTGCATGAACCTCATATGTATTAAAGTCAATACAGTGGCAATGACAAAAAAAACACAAATTACCAATAGCCTTTATTATTAGCTGTCAGTTTTACTAAAATTGAGAATGGAAATGGGGAATGTGTCAAAGAGACAACAACCCGACCATAGAGCAGACAACAGCCGAAGGCCACCAATGGGTCTTCAATGTAGCGAGAAACTCCCGCACCCGAAGGCGTCCTTCAGCTGGCCCCTAAACGAATATGTATACTAGTTCAGTGATAATGGACGTCATACTAAACTCCAAATTATACACAGGAAACTAAAATAAAAATGATACAAGACTAACAAAGGCCAGAGGTTCCTGACTTGGGAAAGGCGCAAAAATGCGGCGGGGTTAAACATGTTTTTTGAGATCTCAACCCTCCCCCTATACCTCTAGCCAATGTAGAAAAAAAAAACAAACGCACAACAGTACGTACAGTAAAACTCAGTATAAGAGAAGTCCGAGTCCGATGTCAGAATAGGAAACAAAAGAAAATAAACAAAATGACAATAATACATAAATAACAACAGACTACTAGCAGTTACTGACATGCCAGCTCCAGACCTCAATTAAACTGATTAAAAGATTATGTCTTCATCATATTAATATCAGGCACAATCCCTCATGTTAGGGGTTTAGTATTATACCGTCATAAAATATATGAGAAGAACATAACCCTTGTCATGCCAACAACTGGTTTTAGAATAAATGTGTTTAATTCCGATGCAAAGATCCTATAAGTGAATTAATATTAAAGCCAAAATATGCAATCTTTAATGACCTGACAACAGTATCGTAACTATATTCCTTCTTAATAAGTCTGTTTAAAGGTTTTGTTAGCTTTTGAGGTGAATACTGACATTTTTGTGCTTTGTAAAGAATATTACCATAAAAGATTGGATGTGAAATACCCGAACGTATAAGATATCTGCATGTTGAGTTATATTTACGAATGATGTCCTTATACCGATGATAAAATTTAGTAAATGTTTTGACTAGTTTATGATATCGAAAACCCTGGTGTAATAATTTTTCAGTAATACATAAATTTCTCTCGCTAAAATCTAATACGTTGTTACATACACGAGCGAATCGTACAAGTTGATATATATATAAACACCATAAGATGGTGACAAGGGAACGTCACCATCTAAAAATGGATAATTAACAATAGGAAATGAAACATCATCTCTTTTGTCATAAATTTTTGTATTAAGCTTCCCGTTAATGACAGAGGCGGATTAAGATGGTTTTTCAGGGGGCCCGGGCCCCTCCCCCCTTTTTGGGGAAAAATTTGGTTGATTATATAGGGAATCACTGAAGCATGACTGGAGCGGGCACCCTCTTAGGCAGTCAGTGGGCCCCTACTTATGAAAAATTCTGGATCCGCCACTGAATGATATAGATATCAAGATCGAGGAAAGGACAGTGGTCATTGTTAGTATTAGCTTTATTTAAAGTAAGTTCAACAGGATAAATTTCTTTAGTATACATACTGAATTCGTCATTATTGAGAGCCAATATATCATCCAAATATCCAAAAGTATTGTTAAATTTTTGTATCAGATGTTGTTTCGATGGGTCTTTGCTGATTTTAGTCATAAATTGTAACTCATAACAATACAAAAACAGGTCCGCAATAAGTGGTGCACAGTTAGTCCCCATTGGAATTCCGATAACTTGACGATATACGGAATCTCCAAAGCGAACAAAAATGTTATCAAGTAAAAATTCAAGGGCAGATATAGTATTAAAGCATGTCCAATTGACATAGTTCTTTTGTTTGTTGCTACTAAAAAATGACCTAAAAGAGTTTGAACATATGTATTCGCATTCCGACTTTTTAAATGCCCATTTAATTAGGTGTGTGAATTTTTTCTTAATAAGAATATGAGGCAAAGTGGTATATAGGGTAGAAAAATCTAAACTTTGAACCGATTCAAAATCACCAATATATGCATGCAATTTATCAAGTACTTCCAACGAGTTTTTGACACTCCAAAAGTAATTAAATCCACTATTTTCAAAGGCCTTATTTGAACAATTTATTATCAGGTTTTTGATGGTACCAAGTGTACTAGTCAGTAGAATAGACAATTTAGTAGTGGAACAATGACTTGAAGACGAAATAAATCTATATGTGTAAGGTGATTTGTGTAGCTTCGGAAGCCAGTACATAGTTGGGACTTTCATTGTATTTGGTTCTGCTTGTAAAGAAGTAGCTAATAGTTTATGTTTGTTACAGATATCGTTTTCTGAAAATGAAGTCAGTTGGAATGTTGGTGAATTGGTAATTTCCTTTTGCAGAACCTCAATGTAAAATTTACGTCAAACTATAATAATATTATATACTACCACTCATGTTCGCTAGCCAAGGGTTACGATAGGAGGGGTCTGGATCGTAACCCTTGGCTAGCGAAGACGACTACCACTGGGTGTTAACTATCGGAATCATATTGTAGTCTGAAACAGTCATTTTGATCTTAACAACATCTGAAAAGTCAGAACCTCAAATGTTAAGTCTTGTTTAGAGGTTAAGATAACTTTCATATATTTTCCTTATGGAAATTCATTACCGTTCAGACATATGGCTTGCAGTCAATCCGGTACTGTTCAGTTGTTATTTCGACAATTGAGTTTTGTACAGGTAAAAACAACTAATGAACAGTCTGATCATAGACTATACAGATTTTAATTGACTGCAAGCAAATGATTCTGACAATTAGCACATACTTACAACTTCTCGTCCAATTAAATTACTTAAATGTTGTCTTCTAATTTTCATAGTACATACTTTTTCCGTGCACTAAGTAACTATGCATGAATGACCACAAGGGTAAGCTTTCATTGTATCGTAATCATTATTTTGAAACAAAAATTGCCACTGACTATTTTAAGATTAAATGATGTGTCCCAAATTAAATAGTTTGTAATTAGTGTTCGCATTGATTTTTAGCTCACCGGGCCCAAAAGTGCCAAGTGAACTTTTCTCATCACTTGACGTCCGTCGTCGTCCGTTAACTTTTACAAAAATCTTCTCTGAAACTACTGGGCCAAATAAAACCAAACTTGGCCCAAATCATCTTTAGGGTATCTAGTTTAAAAAATGTATCCGACGACCCCGCCAATCAACAAAGATGGCCGCCATGGCTAAATATAGAACATGGGGGGGGGGGGGGTTATATCTCTGAAACTGAAGCATTTAGAGCAAATCTGACAGGAGTAAAATGTTCATCAGGTCAAGATCTATCTGCCCTGAAATTTTCAGACCCATCAAACAACCCGTTTTTGGGCTGCTGCCCCTGAATTGGTAATTTTAAGGAAATTTGGTTATTATCTTGAATATTATATTAGATCGAGATAAATTGTAAACAGTAAAATTGTTTAGCATAGTAAGATCTACATATAAGTCAAAAATGACCAAAATTGTCAATTGACCCCGTAAAGAGTTATTGCCCTTTAAAGTAAATTTTTCACAATTTTTCGTAAATTTTTATAATCTTTTACATATATCTTCTCTGAAACTACTGGGCCAAATGAAACCAAACTTGGCCTAAGTCATCCTGAGGGTATCTAGTTTTAAAAATTTATCCTATCACCCCGTCAATCAACCAAGATGGCCACCATGGCTAAAAATAGAACCTGGGAAAGGGGGGGGGGGGGGTAAAATGCAGTTTTTGGCTTATATCTCTGAAACTAAAGCATTGAGAGCAAATCTGACAGGAGTAAAATGTTCATCAGGTCAAGATTTATCTGTCCTGAAATTTTCAGACGTATCAGACAACCCGTTGTTGGGTTGCTGCCCCTGAATTGATAATTTTAAGGAAATTTTGCAGTTTTTGGGGATCTTGAATATTATAATAGATAGAGATAAACTGTAAACAGCTAAATTGTTCAGCAAAGTAAGATCTACAAATAAGTCAACATGACCAAAATTGTCAATTGACCCCATAAAGAGTTATTGCCCTTTAAAGTCAATTTTCACAATTTTTCGTAAATTTTTGTAATCTTTTACAAAAATCTTCTCTGAAACTACTGAGACAAATTTAACCAAACTTGGCCACAATCATCCTTAGGGTATCTAGTTAAAAAAAATGTGTCCGATGATCCCACCTGCCAATCAACATGGCCGACATGGCTAAAAATTGAACATAGAGGTAAAATGCAATTTTTGTCTATTATTTTGAAAACCTTTATGACTAGAGAAAATCTGACAAGGACAAAAATGTTCAGAATGTTGAGCTCGTCCAACTGTCCATTTACGTCAAAATTGTCAGACGACTT